CGGCGCCCAGCTGTTAGTTCTCCTCCGCTTGCGGAAGCCATTCGACCTGGAGGCTATGAAGGATGGAACTGTTTTGGGACCTTCTAATAAGGTCAGTCGCGGACTGACTTTGGTAGCGGCTCAGATGTTAGTGTCCAACGACCAGGAACCTTTTATTCAGGTTCTTAACGCTGGGTTGGACACGACGGTCATCAAGGAGGGTACTGTGTTGGCTCATGCATCGCCGGCGCGTCCAGAAGGGGGCGTCCTCGGGAATGTGGGTGCTGTGTCTTGCACACGACAACCCCGGGACATGGATGACGGTTGGATAGACAAACTATGTGCTGAGAGTGGCGCTTTGTCTGCGGACCAGATGGGGAAGCTACGGGAGCTCTTGCGTGAGTTGTAGGATATTCTTAGCAAGGGGAAATTTGATATTGGACACGTCGCTCCTGAGTCACCATATTGATACGGGTGACACGGCCCCTATTCGGCAGAACCCCTACCGGCTGAGCTCGGCAGAAAAGGAACATGTTCAGCTGGCGGTTGGTGAGATGTTGGCCGCAGACATCATCTCACCATCCACCAGTCCCTGGGGAGCTCCGATTGTGCTTGTAAAAAAGCAGGATTGTAGCTTACGATTTTGTGTTGACTTTCGCAAGCTTAATAAGGTTTCTGTTGCGGACGCGTACCCCTTGCCTCGCACGGATTACTCGCTTGACGTGTTGGTGGGGGCGCGGTTCTTTTCCACCCTCGATCTCCTATAGGGGTTCTGGCAGTTGCCGCTTGACGATGCTTCGAAACCTAAGACGGCCTTTCGTACGCCGCACGGATTGCTTCCTATGGGGTTCCATTCCGCGCCAGCCACGTTCCAATGTTTGATGGAACTGGTCCTTGCGGGTCTCCAGTGGGACTCGTGTTTAATATATCTCGACAATGTAATCATCTTCAGCCGCACTTTCGATGACCATTTGGTCCGACTGCGTGCTGTCTTCCTCAAGTTGCGTGTGGCTAACCTGAAATGTAAGCCACAGAAATGTCACCTCCAGAAATCGGTTCGGTATCTTGGCCACATAGTTAACGAATCGGGTATTGCAACCGACCCGGAGAAAACTGCGTGCATCCGAACTTGGCCGACCCCCACCTCGGTGAGTGAGGTACAGAGTTTAATCGGCTTTGCTTCCTACTATCGCCATTTCATCACCGGGTTCGCGTCAATTGCAAAACCTCTCCACGCATTGACAGCTAAGGGTCATACGTTTCATTGGGGGGAGGAGGAGGAGGCTGAATTTCGTGCCATCCGCAATGGATTGGTGAACACCCCCTCCTGTGTTATCCTGATTTTTCATTGCCGTTCATCCTTGATACGGATGCTAGCAATACCGGGATTGGACCCATCTTGTCACAGGTTGTCAACGGGGTGGAGAGTGTTGTTGCGTACAGCAGTAGGGTACTTTCTCCAGATGAACAGCGATATTGTGTTACGCAACGTGAATTGCTGCACATTGTGGTTTTTTTGCAGCAATATCGCCCCTACTTGTAAGGTAGACGATTTGAGGTACGCTCCGATCATGCAGTGCTCCAATATGCGGTGCGTGTAGACCAGCCGTCAGGCCAATTATCACGCTGGCTGGAGATCCTGCAGGACTTCTCGTTCTTTGTTATGTACCGCAAGGGTTCTCGCCATACGAACGCCGATGCCCTGTCGCGATTGCCAACGACTGGAGAGTGTGTATGTTTTTCGGGTTCCGGGTGCTGTAAACCGGCCGATGTGACCTCGCTTCCTCCTCTCGCAGCGTCTGCCGAGGCGGCAAAGGGCGGGGCGGCCGCCGGTGCGGTCGCACGGGATGCGGTCATTGGGTTGGATTACAAAGAATGTGGACGCCTTCAGGCGGAGGATGCATCACCGCTCAAATTGCGGCGTCGCAATATGGGGACGCGGATCGACGCGGCACTGCCTCGGTCGTTCGGCGGGGCGGCTTGCTCATGCATTGGGACGGAGGGCTGCGCCAGTATACCATTGTCGTCCCCACTGCCCTGCGAGGCGAGGTTGTTTGGGCAGTGCATGAGCATCTCTTGCACCTGGGGCGTGCAGAAGACACTGGCCACTGTCAAACTGGAATTCTATTGGCCAGCCATGTCTGCGGATGTCGATAATTTACTCAAGGGTGCTCCTGAACGCCTGTTGACCGATCAGTGCAAGAATTTCTCTTCTAAATTGTTGCGTGACGTCTGCAATTTGTTGGAGACAAAGAAGGTGCGCACGTCACCGTACCACCCGCAGATGGATGGCATGGTCGAACGGCTACATAGGACTCTGACCTCCATGTTAAGCCACCAGGTCATTGAGTCACAACTCGGTCCTCGCCGCTTACAGGATGGCTCCGCACGCATCCACCGGCTACTCACCGTTTTTTTTAATGTATTGAAGGGAATTCGATCCCCCCATCGATGTGCAGTTACAAGCCACGCCCTAAATTTCTAAATCCAAGATTTCGGACTCCGTTTGCTTCACTCTTCAAAAGCTTTCCAAGGCACGGGAAGCTTCCAGAGTTAATTCTGAGGCGCGACAATTGGCAAACGAACGGCTTAAGGGAGTGTATGCTTCTCTTTATGAATGGGCGCCTGGGGACAAGGCCTGGTTCCACTGTCCACAGGTGCCGGTGGATACATCGCCTAAGTTACTCCAGCCCTGGAGAGGGCCGGTCGATGTTGTTCGGGTTGTTCGGCCACAGTGTGTCCAGATCCGCTTGGGTTGGCGGAGTTGGTTCGTGCATCCCTCTCGCCTGAAACCGTTTATCGCGCCGCGCGAATTCTCTTCATCTCCATATCGCAGGGGCCGAGTGTCGAATGTGTCCGATGAGCCGGGGTGTTTGTCCGCTGAGGTTGGTCCTCAGCGGAGCGATTCTGTTCCGCCCCCAGGTGCCGCGCGACTGACGTCTCCCGAACGGCTACTCATGCCAGCTTCGCAGGCTTCGGACACGGAGGACCTGTCGACCCGGCTTACTGCTCTCCATGTGCCAGGTTCGGCGGAACATTTAAACATTCCCCTCGGGACCTCCAGGGTAAGCAAGCCCCCCTCCCCTGGGGGCCCGGCATCACGGACTCGATCAAAGACTCGTTTTTCGTGATCCCCGCACACACACGCTCCGACACTGTCAGTTGCTTGTCGCGCTCGTTGAGTCGTGACGGTTATTGGCTGATCCTGGCCGCTTTTGAGTTCACGAGCGTCGTTACACGGTGAATGTGGGAGGTGTGGTGGTAGAGGGGATCCCGCGGGTTCACGCGTTTTTTTTCTTTTTGGTGTGTTGTTGTTATGAGTTCGTTGGTTTACACCCTTCTCCCTGTGGGTTTTGTACATTTGTGGATAGTGTAATTTTTGTACAGGTGGGTTGGGGTATTTATTTGTTCTTGTTGTTGTTGAGGCATACATTTTTTTCCTCTTGCCTTTCGCTAATTTGTTCGTTTGGAGGAGGAATTGACAGCCGGGACGGCTAATTGCTACGAAGGGGGGGGGGGTAATGTAGTGACATCGGGGATGTCACTGTGTGGTGCCGGCCTGGGAGGGCCGTGGCGTGCGATGTACTTATGTCGCGGACAGTACCGTGTGCGTTGCTGAGTGAGGCCGGCTCTAGCAGAGCACGGCTTGCGATGCATCGTCATCGCGTGGGTGTAGTACCAGCCCTAGCGGGGCTTGGCGAGTGCTGGGATAGCGTGGGCACCACGCATGGCATAGAGTGCGGGCTGCCACAACGGGGAGCGGGAGAGTGTCAGCCCAGGGACAGGGTTGCCCCGGGCCATGGCACTCTGGTTGACCCCGTAGGCACGTGATGCGGAGTGTCCACAGAGAGGCCCCCAGGTGGGAGGGCTAGGGGGTGATCACGTGTCCGGGGAGAGCTCTCGAGAGGGATCGAGAGGGAGCTAGAATGCTCGCGAAGGTGGGCGGGGCCGAGGGTGGAGCCGGCCCCGACACGGGAGGATATAAGGTGGGTCCCTGAGAGCTCCACATCCTACATCTGAAGAGGCACCAACACGTGGCCGGGACCCGAGTGAGGGTCCGGTTCATCGTAGCTGTAACTCCTGTGTGTAGTGTAGTTAGCTGGGTGGTCACCACTCTAGGCTGTATATGGTAAAGGGGCAGTAACCCCTTTTGTATATAGGTGTTGTGAATGTGTTACCTCTGAAGAACAATGTCTGCGACTCAGTTGGACTCACTACACAAATTCTGGTTGTTGGTCAACTCAGCACTTCATTTCTCTGGGGGATGATAAAATTAATATCACTATGTGGAATTTAAAATTTTGATTTAAAGCTTTCGTGACTGCAGGGATTCATATTCTTGGTTCTTTCGGTATTGTTTCCCTTCTACGTGACCTTACCGAAAGAATGAAGAATACTATGTGGGATGTCTACAGAAGTTTTCCTATTGATATACTTACGTTTGTCATAGAAACGTGCACTTTTCAATCCCATCACTGACTCTGTTTTAACAAAATGAGCAACTCCCCAAGTACATTTGAGTGGGAAAATACTTAAAATTTTAAGGAGATTGCAGAAGTTTATAATGCAATTTGCCACAGTTGATAATGCAACTTGCAGTTTCTGTAGAAGTCTGTACCAAATATTCACATGACCACACTGGTAAGCAGGTGTGCAGTAAATGCTTCAAAATGCCCTTTTCATGGACATTGTGAAAACAGCAGGAAAATGGAAACCAAGTCACGATTTATGCAGTTTTGTGATATTGCATCTAGTGAATGTATATAAATATGTGCACCAAAGCCATTCATGGACAATGGGATACATTCACAACATCAATGAATTTGAAACATCATGTACATGCCACATTAAATTATCATGGACTTTTATATAGCACATTAATTACTTGTTGCATGGCACTCAGTGGCAGTGAACTATGTTTGCTAAACAGTGAGCAGACAGTTCCTTGTGGCTGGGTAGCATTCTCACAATCATATCAAGTCGTTATACTTTCGTAGTGACCAGGAGACCACCATACCTACCAGAGCCACAAGAACTCGGAGAGTACAGTGCCCACCAGGCCATTGATGAGGATGTAGGCCCACACAGTGTTGCTGGGAAACACAAATGTCTCAAATCCTGCGTAGTGAAGCAGCGGGAAGCCAGGCCACAGGCAAAGCAGGTTGAAGAGCCCCACAAAGCCTGCGACAGGACAACCCAGCCAATGTCAGCGTATCTCCCACACAAGCACTATCAGAATCAAATATGTATTTATAGTTGAGGAATCCAATGAGCTGTGAAGCTCTTTTTCACAGATGTCCAGCAGGGGTAGGTCAGAACGTTACAACAACAATAAAAAAACCATGATAGCAGTGCAAAGTATAGGAAAGGTAAACAAATCACTTACAAATATACAAATAAAAATAAACTATGACCTAACAATAGCTAAATAAAAATATAACTGAACATTTCATAGTTATTCTTGAGGGCTCAAACAAAAGGATGTCAAATGGAGGCCTTTTGTATTACCTCAATGTACTGAAAATAAAATTTGTGTATGTTATTTAAGATACATTTAACAAAGCTACTGTACTCCATTTGGACCCTGTAAAAAAAAGACTCTACATTAATTAACTTTCAGAATTGTTATCATTCAAATATAAACGTTGGTTAGTGTATACTGAACAAAAATCTATGAATAGGAATCCATGTATATTACATCAAAGGACGATATTTTCTGAATAAGTCTTAAAGAAGTGAATACCAATAATTCAATTAACTAAATGCCAAATTTAGGAGTGTCTGCATAAAACGGTACTGCAAACGTTTCATCCACTACCTATCCTGTTTGCGGCGTACATACTGAGGCAATGGTATAAAGAAGCTTTGCAAAATCTCACTGTACAGCGTGATGTGCCAAGGGCCAATTATGGGGGCAGTGGAGCCTCACAGCGGTAATAGAGCCACTTTATACAGCAGGAATGTAACCATTCATGAATTGCACTGTGTGCACTAATAAATTACCTTTAACTAATGCATTTTAAACCTTTATGCTAATGCCATGAGCAAGTGGTGAATATTCCATTTCACTACCATGGAGGCCAATCGATCAACAGCACAACCACTGTTGACTTCTAGGAGAGTGGTACCAATTGAGCCCAAAGGGATGATAAGCTTCATCACTTTCTAATGCCTGCTATGAGGTGAATATATGCTCTCTTTTATATATATACCACATATAAAATGGTAAATGACAAGCATGTATTGACCCCAAATTGTGATTCGAGAATGAATTAATGTTGCCTTGTTTTGCCCCATTTCATTTCTATTGTCCTAATCTTGTGTTGTCTTGATTATTCCCACAAGTAACATTTGCATGTAACTTGTAGAAAACGCAAATAATCGATTCTTACATGCACGGTTCAATGCATTTATAGTGAGCGCAAGAATTGATTTTCATGATGGAATCGATTATTAATGACTGCGTGTTAGATACAATTTGGCCAGACAAATGCCTGTGCAAAGCACTTAATAAACGGAGCACAAGTATGTACAGTGAGGGAAAAAAGTATTTGATCCCCTGCTGCTTTGTACGTTTGCTCACTGACAAAGAAATGATCAGTATATAATTTTAATGGTAGGTTTATTTGAACAGTGAGAGGCAGAATAACAACAAAAAATCCAGAAAAACGCACGTCGAAAATGTTATAAATTGATTTGCATTTTAATGAGGGAAATAAGTATTTGACCTCCTCGCAATCAGAAAGATTTCTGGCTCCCAGGTGTCTTTTATACAGGTAACGAGCTGAGATTAGGAGCACACTCTTAAAGGGAGTGCTCCTAATCTCAGCTTGTCACCTGATAAAAAGACACCTATCCAAAGAAGCAATCAATCAATCAGATTCCAAACTCTCCACCATGGCCAAGACCAAAGAGCTCTCCTAGGATGTCAGGGACAAGATTGTACCTACACAAGGCTGGAATGTGCTACAAGACCATTGCCAAGCAGCTTGGTGAGAAGGTGACAACAGTTGGTGCGATTATTCGCAAATGAAAGAAACACAAAATAACTGTCAATCTCCCTCGGCCTGGGGCTCCATGCAAGATCTCACCTCGTGGAATTGCAATGATCATGAGAACGGTGAGGAATCAGCCCAGAACTACACGGGAGGATCTTGTCAATGATCTCAAGGCAGCTGGGACCATAGTCACCAAGAAAACAATTGGTAACACACTACGCCGTGAAGGACTGAAATCCTGCAGCGCCCGCAAGGTCCCCCTGCTCAAGAAAGCACATATACATGCCCGTCTGAAGTTTGCGGTCAGATGAGACCAAAATGGAGCTCTTTGGTATCAACTCAACTCGCCGTGTTTGGAGGAGGAGGAATGCTGCCTATGACCCCAAGAACACCATCCCCACCGTCAAACATGGAGGTGGAAACATTATGCTTTGGGGGTGTTTTTCTGCTAAGGGGACAGGACAACTTCACCGCATCAAAGGGACGATGGACGGGGCCATGTGCCGTCAAATCTTGGGTGAGAACCTCCTTCCCTCAGCCAGGGCATTGAAAATGGGTCGTGGATGGGTATTCCAGCATGACAATGACCCAAAACACACGGCCAAGGCAACAAAGGAGTGGCTCAAGAAGAAGCACATTACGGTCCTGGAGTGGCCTAGCCAGTCTCCAGACCTTGATCACATAGAAAATCTGTGGAGGAAGCTGAAGGTTCGAGCTGCCAAACGTCAGCCTCGAAACCTTAACGACTTGGAGAAGATCTGCAAAGAGGAGTGGGACAAAATCCCTCCTGAGATGTGTGCAAACCTGGTGGCCAACTACAAGAAACGTCTGACCTCTGTGATTGCCAACAAGGGTTTTGCCACCAAGTACTAAGTCATGTTTTGCAGAGGGGTCAAATACTTATTTCCCTCATTAAAATGCAAATCAATTTATAACATTTTTGACATGCGTTTTTCTGGATTTTTTTGTTGTTATTCCGTCTCTCAGGGTTCAAATAAACCTACCATTAAAATTATAGACTGATCATTTCTTTGTCAGTGGGCAAACGTACAAAATCAGCAGGGGATCAAATACTTTTTTCCCTCACTGTATGTATACCTTCTTTCGCACCATACATAGCCAACCGTGCTAATCGGAGGTGCGGGGGGAGGACAACAAACTTAACACAAACAGCAGTTCTCAAGAAATGAGCTTTCAAAAGTAAAGGCCCCTCGCTGTGTACCGAAGAACATGGGTATGTCCAGCTGACGGTCGCCTCCTGCACTCCGCTGCAGCAGCACCAGGTATGTGGCGTACAGCAGAGCTCCAAGCAAGGACCAGATGCAGCCTGAAGACAGCAGCAGCAGGGCCAGAGGATAGTATGGGTTAATGGATTGAAAGGAATTACCCTTCTACAGCCTCAGTTACAATGAAGCTTCAATGAGGGGGTCATCCGTAAGGAGTTCCCAGAAACACTTAAGGGATGACTGCAAATGGGGCTGCCACTATTATGGGGATTTTATCGTATTAATAGTGTTATATTGAATACCCTCAGCATTACTTACTTGAAGATGTTCAAAGACCAATAGTGACTTAATGGTTGCAATGAAATTGTAAAAAAAAAATCAATAGGTGTCCCCTTGTATCTGTGATTGCTCAGGTGGCTCTTGCAGGACAATGGATCTTAGATGAGCTCTAATCTGGTTAAATAAAGGCCACTAAGTTGATTTCAATATAATTTAAGGAATTTGTGTAATATTGTAAAGATCACACGGAACTTTTGAATAACATGGAACTGTAATGGTCTTGGACTTATTGATTAGATCTGCTGAGGCACTTACAGAGCTTTGTCAAATTCGTTTTAAAGGGGCTCAAATTGTTTCCAGCTGGCTCCATGTGTACACGAAAGATGGATATTTAAGATTATGAAGTAATATGATACCCGCCCTAAATTAGATCCATATTCCAGTGTCAATGTTATATTTGTGTTATTTTGCAGGGATAACAGACAATAGTTCTTGGAAGCTAATCAAGTTTTTGCCGAGGCAAGTGCTTTAATTGGGTGACTAGCTATTGTATTGTATAAACGCATCCCCCATAATAAATGCATTCAAAGTTAGTGGGTTATTTGTTTGAACATTTTACATTTTTACTTTATGTGGGGGATTAGTCCATTATCAAATCCACTTTACTACTGTCGTAAACTAAAGAAACTTATTTCATTCTTAATCACATTCCGTGCAGATATGCTTCTCGTGTCCATTCCTGGGTATTCCATGTGTGTGTTCAAGAACATGCCGAAGTGTACTGTATATTGTGTTTGAGTGTGGTGGTAAAATCGTTATCGCAATGAGTTATAATCCTAGTGACTCTTCACCTTGTGTAACACCAGTGGCAATCATTGTCTGATCATGACCTGGATCTGCACTTGGTAAACTGAACCTAATATGGATAAAATTACTTGGCATGTTGACAACAAAAGTGGGGAAAATTACGATGTGGTGTGCTGCTGTCGTGCTGTCCTGAATAGGTGCTCACTGCACTTTCCCCATCATTCTACCCCACTAAAGAAGGGATATTTGCCGTCGGTGGGGTAGTGGACAGAGACAAAGGCACACACTTGTGAATTTATGGTCAATGCCATGAGAGAAATTAAATGTTTAAATCATATTGCTGTTAGTGAGCACCTATTAAGGTTAACGTGCCACAGAATGAAATAGTATGGCAAACACCATCCCCAAGCCATCACAATTGCTGACGTCGACACACTACAAAATGGATTGTTAGGCTGAGCTGACCTGATGGATCCCAGAACTAGGTCCAGGTAGCAATATGCACTGGATTAGTGTTTCGTCATAATTTACCCTGCATTGCCAGGAACATAACAGCGTTTTAACCTTCATGATGAACGTGAATTTCGTTCACACCATACGTCGCCAACCATACTAATCGGAGGTGAAAATATGTATCTGTATATTATATCACTTATAAATATGTATCTCTTTACTCTATATAAACACTCACAAGCACACATACTTGTGACGTGCTCCCAATTTTATGATGAAAAAAAATCAAGGCTAGATACAAAATCCAGGATGTACCATCACAGGGTATTACATCCCTTCCATGGCATTACATTTGAGCTTTTCTTACCAAAAGTGCCATCACATGATGATATTTTAACAACCAACACGTGTTGTCACCATTGCTCAAGTTATTAACATCTAAATATATATTTTATGTTGACTCGTGTTTTCATTCTGAATCTTAATACAATTTGTCCTAAAAATCTGATTAACAGAATTTAAAATCCAAAACTCATTCATAATTCACACGCAGAAGTATTATGTACTAGCAGGAAGTACCCGGCTTTGCCCAGGTTAAATATATATTTCAAAACTTGTCTTCTCTTAAAAAACATAACATATACATACACAAATACTAAGCTATTGTGAGAGCCTGTTTGTCTGTCTATTTGTCCATCAACAAAAATGTAACAGCCTTTCAGAAGTCCTGAATCAAAAAGTTAAAGTGGGGGGTAAATAATTGATCAAAAAAGTTTCCCAAAATTATCGACCCCCCCACCATTTTTTTGTAGGCATTAATATATATACCTACACACCCTACATACAATAGAGTTAGTAGGACCTACTGATTATATAGTAGTACCTACTGACTGTAATAGTATCTACTGACTGTAGTAGTATCTACTGACCATAGTAGTATCTACTGACAGTAGTATCTACTGACTCTATAGTAGTATCTACTGACTGTAATAATATCTACTGACTCTATAGTAGTATCTACTGACTATAGTAGTAACTAATGACTCTATACTCTTTGGTTCTTTCGGTAAAGTCACGTAGGTATAAAATAAAATAGATCACGACGTTTCGGGAGCAACACAAGCGTCCATCATCAGGTGGGAAAGCATGGTCTGCTGCTGCATGGTCTGCAGCACCTGATGATGGACGCTTGTGTTGCGCCCGAAACGTCGTGATTTATGTTATTGTATACCTACGTGACTTTACTGAAAGAACCAAAGAGTATGGATTCCTGCAGTCATGAAAGCTTCACATCAATACTGACTCTATAGTAGTATCTACTGACTATAGCAGTAACTACTGACTATAATAGTATCTACTGACTCTACAGTAGTATCTGCTGACTACAGTAGTATCTATTGACTCCAGTAGTATCTACTGACTCTATAGTAGTATCTACTGACTATAGTAGTGACTACTGACTCTATAGTAGTATCTACTGACTCTATAGCAGTGTCTGCTGACTCTATATTAGTATCTAGTGACTCTATAGTATCTGGCTCTACAGTAGCATCTACTCACTGTATAGTAGTATCCACTGACTCTGCAGTAGCATCTACAGACTTTACAGTGACATCTATTGACTATAGTAGTAACTACTGACTCTACGGGAGTATCTACTGCCTCTACAGCAGTATCTACCGACTCAATGGTAGTAACGAGACTATGGTAGTATCTACTGTAGTATCTACTGACTCTATAGTAGTGTCTACTCACTATAGTAGTAACTACTAACTCAATAGCAGGCTCTGCTTACTCTATAGCAATATCTATGGACTATATAGTCGTATCTACTGACTCTACAGAAGTATCTACTCACTCAATAGTAGTATCTACTGACTAAAGTAGTATATACAGCAGTATCTACTAACTCAATAGTAGTATCTACTGACTAAAGTAGTATATACAGGAGTATCTACTAACTCAATGGTAATACAGTGAGGGAAAAAAGTATTTGATCCCCTGCTGATTTTGTACGTTTGCCCACTGACAAAGAAATGATCAGTCTATAATTTTAATGGTAGGTTAATTTGAACAGTGAGAGACGGAATAACAACGAAAAAATCCAGAAAAACGCATGTCAAAAATGTTATAAATTGATTTGCATTTTAATGAGGGAAATAAGTATTTGACCCCTCTGCAAAACATGACTTAGTACTTGGTGGCAAAACCCTTGTTGGCAATCACAGAGGTCAGACGTTTCTTGTAGTTGGCCACCAGGTTTGCACACATCTCAGGAGGGATTTTGTCCCACTCCTCTTTGCAGATCTTCTCCAAGTTGTTAAGGTTTCGAGGCTGACGTTTGGCAACTCGAACCTTCAGCTCCCTCCACAGATTTTCTATGGGATCAAGGTCTGGAGACTGGCTAGGCCACTCCAGGACCTTAATGTGCTTCTTCTTGAGCCACTCCTTTGTTGCCTTGGCCGTGTGTTTTGGGTCATTGTCATGCTGGAATACCCATCCATGACCCATTTTCAATGCCCTGGCTGAGGGAAGGAGGTTCTCACCCAAGATTTGACGGTACATGGCCCCGTCCATCATCCCTTTGATGCGGTGAAGTTGTCCTGTCCCCTTAGCATAAAAACACCCCCAAAGCATAATGTTTCCACCTCCATGTTTGACGGTGGGGATGGTGTTCTTGGGGTCATAGGCAGCATTCCTCCTCCTCCAAACACGGCGAGTTGAGTTGATGCCAAAGAGCTCCATTTTGGTCTCATCTGACCACAACACTTTCACCCAGTTGTCCTCTGAATCATTCAGATGTTCATTGGCAAACTTCAGACGGGCATGTACATGTGCTTTGTTGAGCAGGGGGACCTTGCGAGCGCTGCAGGATTTCAGTCCTGCACGGCGTAGTGTGTTACCAATTGTTTTCTTGGTGACTATGGTCCCAGCTGCCTTGAGATCATTGACAAGATCCTTCCGTGTAGTTCTGGGCTTATTCCTCATCGTTCTCATGATCATTGCAACTCCACGAGGTAAGATCTTGCATGGAGCCCCAGGCCGAGGGAGAATGACAGTTCTTTTGTGTTTCTTCCATTTGCGAATAATCCCACCAACTGTTGTCACCTTCTCACCAAGCTGCTTGGCAATGGTCTTGTAGCCCATTCCAGCCTTGTGTAGGTCTACAATCTTGTCCCTGACATCCTTGGAGAGCTCTTTGGTCTTGGCCATGGTGGAGAGTTTGGAATTTGATTGATGGATTGCTTCTGTGGACAGGTGTCTTTTATACAGGTAACAAGCTGAGATTAGGAGCACTCCCTTTAAGAGTGTGCTCCTAATCTCAGCTCATTACCTCTATAAAAGACACCTGGGAGCCAGAAATCTTTCTGATTGAGAGGGGGTCAAATACTTATTTCCCTCATTAAAATGCAAATCAATTTATAACATTTTTGACATGCGTTTTTCTGGATTTTTTTGTTGCTATTCTGTCTCTCACTGTTCAAATAAACCTACCATTAAAATTATAGACTGATAATTTCTTTGTCAGTGGGCAAACGTACAAAATCAGCAGAGGATCAAATACTTTTTTCCCTCACTGTATCTACTGATTAAATAAATATCTCTTGACTCTACAGTAGTACATACTGACTCTAAAGTTGTATCTACTAATTCTATAGCATTTACTGACTCTACAGTAGTATCCACCGACTCTATCGTAGTATCTAATTACTATAGTAGTATCAACGGAATCTATAGTAGTATCGATTGACTCTATAATAGTATCTACTGAGTTTACAGTAGTATCTACTGACGATAGTCATATCTACTGACTCTATAGTAGTAACTGCGCACGTTAGGGTGGGGGGGGGAAGAGGACATCACACTGTTCAGGATTTACATTTGACTAAGGGCAAAAACAAATAGCGAGTTTTCGTTCTGGGGCTTAGTTTGTTGTAACTGTGTACTTTGTTGAAACACAAACCCAACAGTTTGTCAGTTAAAAGCGTTACACGTCCACACACACAGAAAAAATATACTTTTATAGGAAAGATACTGCTTTTCCAAACATAATTATCGTGGCACTTGTGGCTTATATGCTACAGTGGATGAGTGATGCATATAAAAAAAACCTTCTCAAGAGCCGCCTCACCTGCCATCACAGCCTCAGCAGAAGAGCTCGCCACAGTCGAGAGACTAACAAGCAGCACACCACCAATGCTGTGTGACAAACAAGCGACACTTAGCGGTCCTTCCAATTGAACATTATCAGCATGACAAAGTGCAAGTTAAAGGTCTCCTTGTCCAAATGAGAATCATGCAGTGCTTATATTTATTGGCAGTCTTGCATCAGTGTACAACACCTCTTATAGGAAAGTGTATGTGCTCTCAGCAATGGGTTGTTCCTTGTGTGGAATGCACTATGTATATGTTCATAACAGTATATTTCTACAGGAATTAGCAATTATTGACATATGTGATCCCACTGGAAGTAAACTGACCACTGGAATATTCTAGAACAATGACACCAGTTGAATGGACTTAGACCTCTGAAGAAATGCATTTTATAGAATCCAGAGTTCAAGAGCATCAAAGATAACAACAAAGCCCTTTGTCCTCCTTTGTGGCTTTTTCTCCGGGTTCTTGGATTTTTCCCTCCAAATTTAGAATCAACATGTGTTTACAGTATTTGGCTGATGTAAATTTCAACATGATAAGCCATTTTGTTGACCTATCATTTGTGGTCAGGTCGCTTCTGAAAATGGCCTTTATAGCTCAGTGGGCCTTACCTGGTAAAATTAAAATAGCAGTACCAAATTTTACAATTTTAAGTCCGGCGCTTTCGTCTTTCTTCATTTTAAGTCAATGAAGAAATAGGAACATTATTTAATGAACTAGATAGTTTCCATGAAAGCTGACCGACTATCCCAGGATGAACATCATGCTGGCATTTTTTTAAACAAAAGTTTTTGTGTTGTCTCTCTAAACCAGGCTCATGCACAATCAGATATGGCTCAGATTATGAATATTCGGCCACAGTACAGAACGACTTACGCAATTCTAATAATTGTGTAGTGACATCGCGGACTGTGTAATGCCGGCTCGAGAGAGGCATGACGTGCGATGTATTGCCATCGCGGGCACCACGTATATGTGGGTGCAGTACTGGCCCTAGAGGAGCTCGGTGAGCGCTGTCCGACAGTGCTGAGTGGCACCACCACGCTCTGTGTGCAGTGCCGGCCGCTACAGGATAGGGTGTGAGAGTGCCGGCCATGGGAATAGGGTTACTAAGGGCCATGGCACTCTGGTTGACCCCGAAGGACACGTGACCGGTAAAGTCTACACAGGGCCCCCAAGTGGGGGCTAGGAGTGGTCACGTGTCAGGGTCGAGATCCTGCTAGAGGTTTATAGAAGGTGGTCGTGACTAAGGGCGGAGCCAGCCCCGCCACAGAGGTCCCCGAGATGGACCGACTGCTGTTGTTCATCCTGAAGAATCCTACGTCCTACAAGTCACCAACACATGGACCGGGACCCAGGCCAGGGTCCGGTCCGTCGTAGCTAACCCCAGTGTAATTAGAGTAGTTAGCCTGGTGGTCCACCACCATAGGTTGTTAATGTGTTAAGGGGTAGTAACCCGTGTGTTGGTTATAATAAATGTTGCCTCCAAGAAGTGTGTCCGTGACTCAGTTGAACTCACTACAATTGCATAAACTACTACTTGTCATCTTCTTTGGTTCTTTCGGTAAAGTCACGTAGAATGAGAATAAAATAATAAAATAACACAATAAAATTCTCACGACGTCTCGGCCACAACACAAGCAGCCTTCTTCAGGTGAAAGAACAGAACTGTTGGGACGACAGTTCTGTTCTTGTTGGGACGACAGTCGGGACGAAAGTTCTGTTCTTGTCGAGACGACAGTTCTGTTCTTTCACCTGAAGAAGGCTGCTTGTGTTGTGGCCGAAACGTCGTGAGAATTTATTGTGTTATTTTATTGTATTATTTTATTCTCATTCTACGTGACTTTACCGAAAGAACCAAAGAAGATGAATCCTTGCAGTCACGAAAGCTTTAAATCGAAATCTACTACTTGTCATCAATATGATTCCATATGAAATTAGTACAAATAAATCTCCTAAAGGACATATTTTAGAGGTGGTTGGGACTATTCTTCTGGAAGTCAGTTCAATATATTTGCATAGGTTATTAACCTTGGAAATGACATACCCTGATGTGAGACCTGTTGATGCTACATCTGCATTTCTTGAAGAGAGCACAAAAAACTGTTAATTAACATAACCCATTGCAAGCTACAAAGTAAATAGCTATATGATCAGATAAGGTCAGGTAGCACTTTGGCAGATGATTTAATTAGAGCGTTGTTAATTTAATTCCCCATCAGAGGTCAATACAACACATCCTTTTCCACAGTTGATTAACATTTCAGAAGAACTTCACAGTGGTTGTCCTATGGAGAGCCCAACCTCCACAGTAGGAATGTTGGAAGTTTCAGCATGGCTCAGGGCTGCCTTTCGAGGTGAGCATTGCCCAGTGTTTGTTTGGGCGTGTAGATTTTTTGATATTAAATATTGTAAAATAAACATGTGCACAAAATATATGTGGAAACAAAACCTCTCTTTTTCAGGTCGCTTCTTGCTAATGTCCTTCAATATTGTATGAATATGTAGTGCAGCTGAGATGAGCAGCCATAACAACACTTTACAGTCTACACTAGGAAATTATTTATATTACTCGAGAGAGTTTGGTGTCCGTGACAGATATGGCTGTGGTGAACTCTACCTCATGTCTGGGTTTTCTCTGGGCAGTCCAGTGTCACGCAATGTAAAACATACAAATTATCCAAAACGTTTTTTTTGTAAAAATACCTGAGTCTTGAGACTCAGATAGGATTTCAAGCCTAAGTATGAGGACATAGTATATCAATGCTAATACAATTTTGAATTACTAAAATTCCACTTTCCTATGAAGGGACACGTCTGTCCATTGGACAACTTCTGCAGACTTCCTACAGTATGGTATGAACTTTATTTCATTATTGCCCACAGACAGATGATGGGCTGACCAGGATTTTAACTGAATTTAAATTATCAGACAGTGCTCTGCAATGTTGTCACCCAGCCGTGGGCTCGTGAGGTAGCAAAACTTTAAGAACATATGCACATTAGGGGGTAAATAAAAATTGATGAGTGAGAAAAGCCCATGGGCTACGATACCTCAGTAAGACTGCCAAGAGCTTGGAGAGAGAGAACCGGTCATTGCTGCTGCTGGGAAGCAATGCTGCCAACACCAGTGTGAAGAGACCTGCAACACATTTCAGGTAAAGCTGACTCCTAATTTCAGGCCAACTTAGAACGTAACACAGCGCTAGTTCCCAAACCGGCAACAACACAATTCAGCCCTCTACAGTACGGGGATGTGTAATGGTCATGCAAGGTTGCAAGTGAAGTGATATGATTTCAGACAATGTAAAAAAGGCATCCACACAAGCCAGCTTGAGATATATATTACTATACTCTTACAACAATTTATCAGATTAGTTTGGCCCGTCGAGTCTTGGCCATTTTAAGTGGCTCTCAAAAATGAAAAATAAGTCTTAGTTTGACATATGGCTTGTGGAGATCTTTGCCAATAACGGCACATGGTATGTTTTTATATTCATTCTTAAATAATGACTAACATGATTATATTTTTACTTTCAATCTGGGGTATTAATATCTAAGCATACATGCTAAAATACAAGTGCTGCATATTAATATTTTATATCTGTCTTGGCATCATCTCAGTGTTGGGAAATAATGTTACAATTGTTATGTTACAGAAATTATTATGCTTTTAAATGTATTTTTACTATCCCTATTTTACCCAGGGAAACCTCACTGAGTCTCAAGACTTTTTCAGGACGGTCCAATTTAAAACATTAAATTAAAAATATATTTCCCGCATCAATTATATCTCAATTGTGTTATCAGATTATTTCATCAAATGAGGAAATGTCTTTTTGAAACTCTCATAGCGAGGTGAACATCAATCGATGTCAGAGAACATCAAATGGAAGGCAACGCCACAAAACGATTTGTGGAAGCACTTCAACAGACTTGTCATCTCGTACAACGCTTACTGGTTCTTTCATAATCTGAAAAGACTGTTGCATGTTAATACATTTAAATATTTGTCGCTACAACTGAAATATTCATAATAAAGTTAAATTATTCTGGTCACTGGTCATCAGGCTGAGACCATTGGTTCTCTACATTTTACTACATGTTAGAATGTGGTTACAGCCTGGGTGATTGCACAGATGTTTAAGATCCAAGCAGTCTCGGTTCAATACTCTGACATGGGTATTGGAACCCTAAATCACCTTGCCTCCTCTGAAACGCAATAACTTTTTTTAATGACAAACATAATAATGAAGCACTCTGAGTTAATCGTTATCATCAGCCATTGGTTATTCACTGCTGGATGAAGGCCTCCTCATGCCATCGCCATCCTTCCCAGTCCAGTGCTGATACAATTAATCTCAATGCTGCACATGAACTCAGTTCTTAAGTGCTGCATAATTGTTCATTGGAGGTCATATGCAGCAATACCCGAGGTTGAAGAAATGATGTTCACTATGGCCACGTGTGTGAAGGCCAGGGCTTGCTGATAGGAGAAGTTTGCCAAGAACCACTGGAAGGGTAGTATACATCAGTGCATTAAAACCATGGACAATAGAATAACAACAAAAACCCCGTAAGTTTCCGCACAAAAAAATCACAAATTGCCCCCAACCATGTTGGAAATGTGTTTCACATCTTTGTGATTAAATTGTATATACATTTATGTTACCAACTAGATTTTTGTAATACTGTATATTCTGTCCAAGTGTTGTACATTGTGTATTATGGACCCTGATAGATAACTTAATAGTTGAAATGTCAACCTTCAACCCTACCCTGTGACACTGCAGGCACTCAAAATCTGAACTTTTTAAAAAACTTCAAAATCTAGAATCAATATTCTGTTGTTTCTTGGCGACGTGGAGTCCAATGAGGTGGACGGTAGGGGGAGTGCTATGCATAAATATTCACACTACTAATTTGCTAAGTATAGTAAAGCTATACGGAAGAGTAGCTACACTTCAGGTGCCTGGCATCTGAAAGGGTAGATGTTTATCTACCCTTTGTAGATAAACATACATCCCTACAAATAGCTGAACAGGCCTCATGGATTTTTAAAAACCTTATTTAAAGTATCTGCAGTGTATATGAAATGAGAGGCAATGTGGTGTCCATTAACCCTCCATCTGTATGGAGGGTTAATGTTCTCGATTAGAAGAAGTGGGTTTGTTTATAGCCACTTTGGAGTTCTGCCAAAAACAAAATACAATTTCGGTTCTTAATTAATTGTATTTTACGGTGACCGTCAGACCGCAGCTCTTTCGCTTGCATTGCCTCTTAATACCTCTCACACCACGGTTAATGGTATGGTTTATAACATGGAGTATAACAGCGCATTCGAGTTGTTTCCCTCTCCCCCCTCCTCCGTTCCGAGCATGGATTGACTCGTCTGTCTGAACGTCGCTGTTCGTGGTGCTAGCGGTGAGGGGAAGGAAAAAAACACCATTTTTCGTCATATGGCATTGATATATAATGACTTATTGTTGGTGGCTCAGCTGGTTGGAGAGTATATAGAGTTTATTGATAACATTGAGGGAGCTTATATTTTGTTTTTTTATTGGTTTACTATATGGTATTCATTATATAGTGTAGTGTATACCCAGTTGCTTTGTGATTAATAGCTTAGCTTATTGAAGAATATATTAAGTACATTTATTATATTGATGTAATATAGATTTAGTTTTTTTTCACACCGTTTACTTTATGATAGTTGGTAGTTGGAGGCCTTTAACGTCCATATACTAAATGCCTCTGTTGATATGTAAACTTTGACTTTAACACAGCTATTTCTGTCACAAGCTAATCCCTCAGCTATTTCAATGCTAAATCCTCCTGCTTTGATAGGTGAACTCCTTTGTCAAGGCTCTCCACGCCTCTCACTATCTACGTGACTTTACCGAAAGACCCAAAGAATATAGATCTAAACGCTTTTACGGTTTGTGGAAACAACATTCAAAATGTATGGTCCAAAAAACATCAATGATTGACCAGAGCTTAAGCAGTTCAACATTAATGACACCTTTAAATGCACTAACCCCAAACTTAGATCAATGCATTACTCTGTTTCATAAATGTCTAAATACACGTTTAAAAGCAAGTAACAATTGTAACAATTTAATGATTAAGTCATGAATGAAGCACATCTTCGTTGTCATATCTTTTTTTTGCAATCAATAATTTAAAAAGTTTTACTGACTTCTGCTTGCACATGGCTTGACTTGGTTTCCTTATTCTCTATTTTGCACTCTTATCGTTTTTTGTATTGTTTTCTGTTGTAACTTGCTGACCTGTCCTTACTGGAGATCTGTGAAAAAGAGCTTAATTGCTCATCAGATTCCTTCAGTCTAAATAAAGATGATCATTCTCATCCATTCATTTACAGTAGGATCCTACTGTACAGCAGTATTGATCTTTGCAGATATTGTACTAAATAAAATAATTATACAAGACACCTGTTTAATGGTGAAAAAATATCCAACCATTTGATTTTAAATAGCATTTTATCCATCAGAGGGCCTTCTGGACCAAAGCTTTACGATTGAATTTGTTAATATTGTTTAACCTGGTAAAAAATTAAGAGACAAGTATAGTCTAATTTTCAAGAGTGACCTGGGGTATTGGGTCTGCCATTTGGTGGCTATGATTGCTACGAATAAATCCCAAACTAGTGATGTGGTGTGACATTTTTTAACTTTGCAAATTTGGAAAATACGCAAGGAAAACCATAGTTTGAATTCAACTTCATTGAGTCTCATCGGTCGGGAGTGGTTTGTTATGCAAATCCTTTTGGGCAGCTTGAAACCGATAGCATATACATTTTCTGTTTAAATTATTCACAACCTTGTACTGCATAGCTTGCAATGAGAAAGACATTGGATTGCTGGTAATTTATACGAAGCACAAACTGCATGAATGAAAGAGAAAAACAAAGCTCACCACGAAGCAGAAAGAGAAGCTGAGCTTGGCTACTTGTGCAACCGAGAGCTTCCTGTTGCATGGGGGGGAACCTTCTGCAGACACGGAGTCCTGCAGCAAGGGCGTTCGGCACTCCACAGGGGTGGCCGCGCACTCTGCAGGACCCGCTGCGCACCCCGATGGCCTTTCACCTGCACCACAGCGCACATAAACTACTGAGGCACATATAACAGATATATTCTCAGGGAGGCCTCCATGTGTCTTCAAGGCCATTTATTCAGGAAGCAATTTGGAAGACAAAAAACCCGACCCGCACAGAGGAAAACACTCAAATAATGTATAGATAGGCAGATAAGTCAGCCAACTACTTGCTCTACTGCCTCATACAGGTGCCTGGCCACCCAAATTCAGAAGTGACTACAATCTGCATGGAATCACGTTAACCACAACAATGTCAAGATGTATGTGAATTGCAGGGCAAGGTGATACATAATAAATAAATAATGCTTCTGAAGGCACCTGCAATGCACTTTTCCACATTTTTCAGGCAAAGTATGGGGTGACACACAACAAATAAACTAAACAAATCAAGATATAATTTATCATCACTACGATCACTACAATCGCTATACACACAAAAGACAAAGATCACCCATATAGCCTTCAACAGACTGTTAAGAGCAAGGACTGTTAGCGAGCAACTATTAAGGCTGGCATAGTACACAAGGGGATGGGTGGCCAACACCACGACTGGCCACCTTTGTCTCCCCAGTGCTGATATTGACACACTGCATCAGGTACTCATTTAAGGCTGAGTCGACCTAGGGGAGGCCTAGGGCAGGTACCGATATTCGTCACTAATGTTGAGAGCGGGAATCAAACTCATGTGGCTGGGTTCCCTTCTACATACACACACCAGTCACACACACATATCACTTACACACTGCATATGTATGTGTATCAGCAATTCTCAGCAATATACACGTGCTGTACTCTGTTATATGGAATCCGTGCTGTAGGATGACGTGTTCATCCACGTGTTTTTCTAGGGTGTTGTGGGGAGGCAGGTTTGTGTGTGATTTCACTAGCAACTGGACGTTTCTGAGTGATATTACTTTTAATTAAAGACCTACAGAAAAATCCAGCTGCACTGCCCACCTGTGGTATCGTCTTCTTCATTGTCCTCCACGGGTACATAGAGTGGCTCCCTCTGATAAGGAAGAACATTTGTACAATGTTATACTTTCACAACGCCTGCCTTATAATAGTACCAGTAATGAGACACAAGATGTGTCATTACAAATACATTTTGGTACAAGTGTAGCGAGTGACTTCCGAGACACGACGTGTCGAGGGCTCCTTGTTTATTTCTCACACTTTACAGGCACAATCACTGAGCAACATGTATATTGGGCTACGCATTGCTGACTCACTCATACAGCCCCATCGCCTACAATTAACTCTATAGCTGGCTGACTAATACAGCGACGACGACGATGAGAGTCGTACAGTGGATCGGCGATGCGGCCGGGCAATGGAGAAGAGATGACGGCGAAGACAGTGACAACAGCCAAGACCCGGGCCCCTACGACAGCCCCGAACCTCCGGTTACATCGCTTTTATATACTCCTCGGCGTGACCAAGCCCTGCCTCAGGCCACGCCCCCTTCTAGCAATAATTGGTTTTATACTTTTGATTTAAAGCTTTCGTAACTGCAGGGATTCATATTCTTGGTTCTTTCGGTAAAGTCACGTAGAAGGGAAACAATAAAATAATAAAAATATAAAACAATAATAAAAATATTGTTTTATATTTTTATTATTTTATTGTTTCCCTTCTACGTGACTTTACCTAAAGAACCAAGAATATAGTTTTATACTGTTTTGTTTACCTTTGTAATTTCTTCCTGAGCTACTGACATTTGCAAAATAGTGAAGACACTTTGACAAACCAACAAAATAACTTACAAATCAGACTCGTGCGATGTTTAAATATGACCATTTCCCAAAGTACATCTACAGAGATTGAGGCACTTTAAAAGAATCCTGCCATGCCACCATTTAGAAAGCATATTTTTGTACAACATGCATTGAATATGAATATGCAATTGGGTAATGGGATTTTAAAAATAAAAATTATACTGTGAGATGAATACTTGTAGAAGGATGTTGCATTGAGGTCATGAAGGAATGTGATTTCAGTCTGTTTCTGCTCCACAAAGGGCACATTTTGGTATGCAACTGTGACATATTAGGTACTACTGTGTCAAGAAAATGATCTCATTGCTACATTAGGCAAAGTACAGAATACATCTGTAGTGTCGTAGTTCTGTTCTTCCTTCTTGCTCAAGGCTTGTGTGTGTGTGCGGGTGGCGTGCGTCACACACACTCAGTCGGAGACGAGGTAGTCGCAGGAGGCACCGTCCTCCCCTTTTATTGTTGTTGAGTTCACGTCACCAACTCAGGCTCCCTCTCTCTCAAGACTATGCTGCCGCACGACCTGGCCCAGACACGACCCTGTCCGCATTGCACCGACAGCGTCGACTGAGACAGCCAACTACTGTCCGGCCGTGCAATGATCGGGCGAAGGCGGCAGCGACGAAGGCGGTGACGACAACAGTGACGACAAGACGAGTTCACTCCCAGAACCGGCAGCCTGGAGCTCTTGCTCTCTGCTACTTACATTCCCCTCAGCATGGCTTGGCTCCGCCCTACCCACGCCTCCCTCATCGAACCCACAAGAGGGTTCCAGGGGCTTCCGCACGAGGTCTACCGTGACCCTTGCCCCAGTTCCTCTGCCCTACCAGCACACCCGCGTATATGCTCAACGGCGTGTGCGCTAAGTGCCCACCTACAGTTGCAGCTGCTGTACAACAGTCAGTACTATGTCACTACATCACCCCCCCTCCGTAAAAAAAACAGCCGTCCCGGCTATCAATACAGCAGAAACAACTGGTAGGCAGGCAGGGCAACTCCCTTAACTCGTGGAACATCAACAAGAAAAAAATAAAACTTCCCCACAATCCCGTTACACTCACCCCAACGTGACGCCCCCGATCTCGCGAATGGGAAAACTCCGCTACATGGCACCCCCGCCCATGAATCGGCAACTCTCCCACATACAAAGCAGCAACCCCCATCCGCAAATCGGCGACACCCCACACACAACACGGCGCCCCCCATCCGCGAATCGGCGACACCACACACAACGCGGTGCCTCCCCGCAACCGACACACCACCTCAATTTCCCTTTAACCCAGGCCCTTAGCCCCAACACCCCCTCACTCTCAGATCCCCTCGCAGTGCAAGGGAGAGTCCCCCCATCCCGGGACATAGCTCTCGTGATCCGGTCCATGGCGCCGGTCACCCCCGTCTCAGTGGGGTCCTGTACCTCCAGAACCCAGAGGGCCAAGAGACGATGGAGGCAGAGTCCTCGGCTCAAAGGGCGCTCGGCAGGGCCCACTCGGATCCGGTCCCCGGACCTCGCACTTGGCGGTCTCGGTAGGCCTAAGAGACCCGGTCTGGCGGGGCTTGAGTTGACTATGCTGACGATCCAGCGAGCACGGGTGACCTGTAGGCGGTTACTCGTCACCCCGACACTCTGCAGCAATGTGGCCCGACCGAACACACATGAAACACTTGGGCATGGGTCCCTAGGGCAGACAGAGCTGTCCCCACCGCGGGTCCTCCCACGGGGATATTGTTGCTTGAGCCCCCCGGTAGGCTCCATGTCACGGCCTCCCACCTTGTCTGCTGCTGTTTCTCCTCGAAGACTTGTATCTTCCTGGCCACCGTTGAGGATGACATTTCTGTGCCAATGGCGGAGGGCAGGGCAACCCTCAATTTTCTTGCCAGCTCCCGTAGCCTCTCCGCCACTCGAAGGTTGAGCGCCCGCTGACCCAAAAGTGGATATGCCTCACGTCCCAGCGCCAGCAGCGCTGACCAGAAGGCGTAGGGCGTCTCGTTCTCCATCCACTTTCTCTGCAGGAATCTTGTGCGAGCCTCCCGTGCCAGATCAAGAGCAGCTTCTTGCAGCTACGTCACTCTTCGCACCTCCTCCACGCGTTCCCGCGCTCAGCTCAAAATGGCGCACGCCAGCCACGGGAGGTCCTCCGACGGAAGTTCCCGCTTGGTTTTCCCAACTCTACTCCGCACCGTCCCCTGGGGTACGCGCCTTGTGCTGGCCTGCGCCCCTCTCCACATGGCGGTCCTCTGCCATGCTGCTTGGTCGGCGCTTGACCACGGGAAAAACTCAGCAGCTCTCCCCATCGACGTGCAGGTCCCGCTCTCTCCGTCGACGTGCAGCCCCCGTTCTCTCTCTCAGTCGACGTTTAGTTGCTCTCTCTCCGTCGGCGTGCATCCGCTATCTCTCCGTCGACATACAGCCTCTCTCTCCTTCGACGCTCAGCCGCTTCCGCCACCTGGCGTAGCCACTCTCGCCATCGACGCTCGGCCGCTCTCTCCTTGTCGACGTACAGCCGTTCTCGCCGTTGACGCGCAGCCGCAACTGCCATCTTGCAAGCCACTCACGCCGTCGACGCCCAGCAGCTCTCTCTCCGTCGATGCGTAGCCGCTCCCGCCTCCTTGCATAACCGCTCCCGCCTCCTTGCGTAGCCGCTCCCGCCATCGATGTCCAGCCGCTCTCCCCTCACGGATGCGTAGCCGCTCACCCCGCAAATTTTGCGTAACAACTGTCCCACCAATCCGCAGCGGTTCCAGGGGCTTCCCCACGAGGTCAACGGTGACCCTTGCCCCAGTTCCTCCGCCCTGCTGGCATACCCGCGTATATGCTCAACGGCGTGTGCGCTAAGTGCTCACCTACAGTTGCTGCTGTACAAGTTAGCGCTATGTCACTACACATCTATAAGCTACAACAATACATTTCACACAAGGGAAATATTGGTGGCATGTTTAATTTTCACAGTTGTGAAGCAGCATAACCAGAGTATTTTCATACTCTTGGTTCTTTCGGTAAAGTAACGTAGAATGGAAATAAAATAATAAAAATATAACATAATAAAATAAAATTTTCACGACGTTTCGGCCACAACACAAGTAGCCTTCTTCAGGTGAAGAAACAGGTCTGTCCAGAAGACAGCGCTTGAGTAAACACTGCCAAGCATGGACCGCGTTTTTTAAGCTGTGTGGGCGGAATTAACATATGAATTAGCATGTTACCCAGCCCCACCTCCGGAGCGGAGGAGGGTGGCGACTGGGCACACAGAAAAATACCAAAGCAGAACAGCTAAGGTGCGCCGCTCTGTCCTGTGTTGCATTATAACTATGCTATAAACTGGACTATCATACAATACAATATTATACCTTCTAATCTAAACTACATGGTATATCATATCCATAGACAAATTCCACCTTTGAATTATACAATGTGTTACTTTACACTACCCTATACTTTAGACTATAAAATATTAGACTTGTAACATTACACTATGTCTTATTCTATGAACCCAACTATATACCACACTGCTGTATATTACTATGAAATTACGATACTATATATTGCCTTATGAATTATGTTAAACATTACAATATTCTACTATTTATTATACCACATGCTATAAACCATACCATTAACCGTGGTGTGAGAGGTATTAAGAGGCAGTGCCAGCGAATGGACTGCGGTCTGAAGGTCACCGTAAAATACAATCAATTAAGAACCGAAATGGTTTATAACATCTTTCCAAAGGTTACTAGGCCAGAATCCATCTTCTCGGTTGAAATTGTCTCTGTGTTTGTATATGTGGATGCCCTCATGAACCAATCTCTCAAGGTAGCCGGATGGCTTGCAGAGAACCTCCGTCTTAAAGAAGTCTATGTCATGTGAGCCCACTGAATTATAACATATAGTTGGGTTCATAGAATAAGACAGTGTAATGTTACAAGTCTAAAATTTATCGTCTAAAGTATAGGGTAGTGTAAATTAACACATTGTATAATTCAAAGGTGGAATTTGTCTATAGATATGATATTATACTATGTAGTTTAGATTGAAAGGTATAATATTGTATTGTATAGTAGTCAAGTTTATAGCATAGTTATAATGCAACACAGGACAGAGCAGCGCACCTTAGCTGTTCTGCTTTGGTATTTTTCTGTGTGCCCAGCCGCCACCCTCCTCCGCTCCGGAGGTGGGGCTGGGTAACATGCGAATTCATATGTTAATTCCGCCCACACAGCTTAAAATACGCGGTCCATGCTTGGCAGTATTCACTCAAGCGCTGTCTTCTGGACAGATCTGTTTCTTCACCTGAAGAAGGCTACTTGTGTTGTGGCCGAAACGTCATGAAAATTTTATTTTATTATGTTATATTTTTATTATTTTATTTCCATTCTACGCGACTTTACCGAAAGAACCAAGAAGATGAATTCCTGCAGTCATGAAAGCTTTAAATCGAAATATTTTCATACTCGTCGAGAATAGTTATTACAGAACATCCCTGCTGCCTTAGTGACATCATCAGATAACATTATACAAAACATCCTTACCCACAATGAGGCCACAACATTAAGGAACACTGAGGCAGACTGAAGGCGTCTTAAAAAAGCTTTCTTTGCTTGCTTAAAAATTGTATTTTCATCTTGGCTTTGCAATATTTTTTTCTATATGATTAAGAGATAGATTTTAATATTTAATACTGTACTAATAAAACAAAAAAACACCTAACAATTGGAAAACAACTACAATGTAAATCAACTTAATAAATAAAAAAATGTAATCGCTACATATATTTCAATGCTATGGGGAGCAAAGGGATTTTTAGTAATCTTTGAAATTGGTTAACTTCACACATTCTGAAGCTAACCTTTTTGCAGACAGTACATCTCCTTCATATATCCGTCCTTCCACAAAATATTTTTTTACATTTTACATCAAACACAGGTCTTCTAGGAATGCACACTTACTCGACCACAAGGCCTTCTGGGAGTGCACAATTTCAGCAGCGATGATTCAGTACAAACTCTGGAATGTTTTCGACAGTGTCTCATCAGCACAGTCATGCTTGCTTGAGCCAGTGAGGGTAAATAGCCAGATGCTGTAAATGACGACCCTCTCTTTAACATGTCTCCTTTATATATGTATTCCTCCACTTACTCTATCGACTACACTCTTCCCTGTGAAAGTCACTCTTCCATAGGAGCTTGTCCAATTTACATTTATGATGGAATAGCTATGGCATCCAAGATGTAAAAGCTGGGTGTTGTGCGTGCCCTCACCGACTGGGCAGGGCATCCCTGTGCACAAGCTCGTCTCCATGGTGGCCACAGCACAAAGCCCAGTAGGTAGAGAGAAAACAGAGATGTCTTCACAAAGGTGCTGAAGAACGGTTTGTTGAACTCTGTGTAGATGTACTAGAGAGGTGGCAGATTCAGCAGGAAAACAGAAATTGCATTACATTGAGGCACACAAACCCAGAAAACCATCACCTGTTCTCTCCTGATTATACACCTAGGCTGTATCAGGTTGTATGTCGTGAGTTTGAGACTTTGTTAGTGGGCCACTAAGACTGAAGACATTGCCTAAATTGAAATAAGCTGACTACATTGAATATGACCCAACAATGAACACGACGGCATGACTGCCAGCTAGCATGTTGCTGGCTCACAATGTGTGCTGTACCGAGGTGAGCTCTGAAGATGCCACCCAGATAAAGTCCACCAGAAGCAGCACCCCTATGCCCAGCAGCATGCGCCGCCGGGTCTGCCTTGGGCCCGCCTGCCCACTGTCCATCCTGTGACACCTAGCACTTGCATTCAGATCTTGAACACTGTGGACAGAAAGTATGAATGTTAAAGCAAAGCCCCAGAAGGCTACACGTCGATGGACCCATTTTGAACAGTTTTGTGTTGTCAAATATTGCATAAAAAAGCAAACCTTTCAATACTCTAGTACATATGGTGCTTGAAATAAAAAAAAACATAGACCAATATAATAATGCAAAATGTCACTATGTAAGGTCCTGAGGGACCACTAGTTATATGGATGGTGCAGTTTGGATACCATTGTTTTGCTAAGTAGGTAATCTATTGTTATGCATGCATATTCATGTATTATCACACACAAGGTCCAGTTCTGTAGAGTACATCATAGTGTTATGAGCCTATGAGCCAGATAGTCATGTTTAAGCCATTGTCTTGAGAACATCTTCCCCTACCATATACTGCACTTTTCTTGGCTTGCAATTAAGAGGTCATGTTAAGAAAGCAGACATTTTGGATACACGATTGGAACTAACAATTAATTTGAGAGGGAGCACCCTCTACTGCTTCTGGACACCTGATTACATTTCTCACATTCCTGAACATATGCTGTAGTTTTGCTGAATACATTACCTCTTCCAAAGACTGAACCTTTATTGTTTCTACAGCAAAATGGCCATTCTACTATAGTCAATGTGTTCTGAACTTTGCTATGCTTTTCTCCAATGCGCAACATGTGTGCATGCACTGCTCTGGACATTCCGTTAATAATGCGGTGGATTTTCCACTGGCTCGGAAAGAAGCATTTTAGGTGAGTGATGGTGCAATGGTTATCAGACCACACTATGAAACTGGTGACCTTAGTTTGATTTCCAACCACGGTTTTCATTAGTGGGAAAGAGCATGAACCAGCCCTGGGCCTGGCACCCACCCCTCCACCAACCTGCACTGAACAGGTTGAATAAAAAAGTACTGTATGCAGTCAACCCCTGTAACTTAGACTGCATGGAGTGGCATGCATCAAGCAGTGGATTAAGAGTACCATAATTATTATTAAGGCCTGAAACTTATTCTTGATATAACCATTCTCCAGAAATATGCTTCATTATTCAGGAAAACATTATCTGTAAATATTTCTTGGGGAATATTTATGTCCTGAAGACCAGCGGAAACGTTTAATTTCTTCTTCTCTCGGTACAGTAAACAAACCCTTGAATTTGTTTTTTTACCTTACATATGTTCACTAAAGCAGAAACGTAACACCTTATATACTATTTGAAGCATTTAAATATCAAAATAGTTGGGCAGCTGTACAGTGAGGGAAAAAAGTATTTGATCCCCTGCTGATTTTGTACGTTTTCCCACTGACAAAGAAATGATCAGTCTATAATTTTAATGGTAGGTTTATTTGAACAGTGAGAGGCAGAATAACAACAAAAAATCCAGAAAAACGCATGTCAAAAATGTTATAAATTGATTTGCATTTTAATGACGGAAATAAGTATTTGACCCCCTCTTAATCAGAAAGATTTCTGGCTCCCAGGTGTATTTTATACAGGTAACAAGCTGAGATTAGGAGCACTCCCTGTAAGAGTGTAACAAGCTGAGATTAAGAGCACTCCCTGTAAGAGTGTGCTCCTAATCTCAGCTCTTTACCTGTATAAAAGACACCTGTCCACAGAAGCAATCAATCAATCAGATTCCAAACTCTCCACCATGGCCAAAACCAAAGAGCTCTCCAAGGATGTCAGGAACAAGATTGTAGACCTACACAAGGCTGGAATGGGCTACAAGACCATTGCCAAGCAGCTTGGTGAGAAGGTGACAACAGTTGGTGCGATTATTCGCAAATGGGGGAAACACAAAAGAACTGTCAATCTCCCTCAGCCTGGGGCTCCACGCAAGATCTCACCTCGTGGAGTTGCAATGATCATGAGAACGGTGAGGGATCAGCCAGAACTACACGGGAGGATCTTGTCAATGATCTCAAGGCAGCTGGGACCATAGTCACCAAGAAAACAATTGGTAACACACTACGCCGTGAAGGACTGAAATCCTGCAGCGCCCGCAAGGTCCCCCTGCTCAAGAAAGCACATATACATGCCCGTTTGAAGTTTGCCAATGAACATCTGAATGATTCAGAGGACAACTGGGTGAAAGTGTTGTGGTCAGATGAGACCAAAATGGAGCTCTTTGGCATCAACTCAACTCGCCGTGTTTGGAGGAGGAGGAATGCTGCCTATGACCCCAAGAACACCATCCCCACCGTCAAACATGGAGGTGGAAACATGATGCTTTGGTGGTGTTTTTCTGCTATTGGGGACAGGACAACTTCACCGCATCAAAGGGACGATGGACGGGGCCATGTGCCGTCAAATCTTGGGTGAGAACCTCCTTCCCTCAGCCAGGGCATTGAAAATGGGTCATGGATGGGTATTCCAGCGTGACAATGACCCAAAACACACGGCCAAGGCAACAAAGGTGTGGCTCAAGAAGAAGCACATTAAGGTCCTGGAGTGGCCTAGCCAGTCTCCAGACCTTAATCCCATAGAAAATCTGTGGAGGGAGCTGAAGGTTCGAGTTGCCAAACATCAGCCTCGAAACCTTAATGACTTGGAGAAGATCTGCAAAGAGGAGTGGGACAAAATCCCTCCTGAGATGTGTGCAAACCTGGTGGCCAACTACAAGAAACGTCTGACCTCTGTGATTGCCAACAAGGGTTTTGCCACCAAGTACTAAGTCATGTTTTGCAGAGGGGTCAAATACTTATTTCCCTCATTAAAATGCAAATCAATTTATAACATTTTTGACATGCGTTTTTCTGGATTTTGTTGTTATTCTGTATCTCACTCTTCAAATAAACCTATCATTAAAATTATAGACTGATCATTTCTTTGTCAGTGGGCAAACGTACAAAATCAGCAGGGGATCAAATACTTTTTTCCCTCACTGTATATGTTATTCGAAGATTGTTCAAGTGCCATATGCTACTTTTTCTAAACTGCATTCCACATCTTGGAATCTGGTTTTTAAAGGTGTCTTGGACTATTCAAAACCAGTTATTTGTGACAAGGAAGTAACCTTGTTGAGTGCTTGTTGTTAGCCTATCAGATACACTACAATACTGTACTCATTATCTTGGAAGGGACTACAGTTATATTTGCATACTTTAATGTACTGCTTGCTAATGTGTATACTCTGTCGTCTACGGCCCAATCTATTACAACCACGTGTTTAACTTTTTTTCCCAACAGCACACAACACAACATGCTTCTGTCCAAACATACACCACATACATCTGAAGCCTTGGTCGGGTGGATCGATACCGTACTGTCGTGTAAGCAATATTTTAGGTTTAAAATGTTTGTTGGGTGTAGTAGTGATCTAGGTGGACTTTATTTTACAGTGAGCATGAAAGTATGCACACCCATTTAAATGAACAAGCTTGGAGTCAGGTTGGTTGATCAAGGATGGCGACATCTTGTGTAAGACATGCCCATTAAGGGCAGGAAGATGCCTTTAGAAAGAAGTACAGAAAGTAATATCGTGTGGTTGGCTGCATAAAACATTTCAAGTGATCCCCCCCCCCAACCCCTAAATTTGTACTTCTTTAAATGACAGAAAGTGGGCATTGTTTCGCTGCAGATGTTTGAATTCCTCATCTCTGTTATTCACACATATTGTAATCCAGTTTCCTTCCAAGTATGAAAATACCCCAACAGGAAATTGCTACAAAATCTCAAGCATAACTATCCTGATAATACTGCAATGAAGAAACTCAGAGGCGTTCCTGGGTAAGGAAGTGTTGTAACCAATAAAGGTTGACCATTCCATGATGATGGATCAATGTAATGTGCAGATTTGCACCATTCTCTTAAACTAGCCTTTTGCCCGTCCAAGGACGGGTGTATTGTAGCGAATCTGAAACTTGCGAGCGAAAAGCAGACCACGACGTGATATTATTAATGCGTGTGCAATTTCACTTTAAGGTTATAATCCCTTGTTCATCATGACGTCTCAATAACGTTACGGAGATCACGTAACGTGAGGGTTCTGTCTTTGTAGTGAGGGTTGTAAGTTGACGCCGAGGAGGGGGGAGGAGGCGTCTCGCCCCCCCCATGTGGAGTGACGTCACCCGCTATTATGAATGGGGGGGGGGGGTCCATTTGGAGGACGTCACCTTATGATTATTAATAAGGGGGCTGTTCGATGTGGAGTGACGTCACCTGCTCATGATTATTAATGAGGGGGAGAGGGTGCTCCATGTGGAGGGGAGTTCACGTGGAGGGCGTAACCTGCTCATGATTATTAGCGAGGGGGGCTGGTCGACGTGGAGTGACGTCACGAGCGTTGCACACAGACATTCTTGGCTCATTATAGTAGGTAATAATAATGGGGGGGTGTCCATTTGGAGAACGTCACCTTGCTCATGATTATGAATGAGGGGGGCTGTTCGATGTGGAGTGACGTCACTTGCGCATGATTATGAGGGGGGGAGTACTCCATATTGAGTGACGTCACCCGCTCATGATTATTAATGAGTGGGGGGCTGTCTATTTGGAGGACGCCACCTGCTCATGAATATTAATGAGTGGGGCTGGTCGATGTGGAGTGACGTCACGAGCATTAAGGACAGACATTCCTGGGTGATTATCGTAGCCATGCATGATGGTTGCCGAACAAAAATAATACTCAATTATTAACCAAACATCTCAAGCAGGACTCTCCAGTATGAACCTCAAAGTTGACGTGAGCCTTTTCCAGAGAAGACCCCTTAAGAAATGTCTCAAAAGGTCAAACATTTGTATCTCGACGGACAGCCCTTAGGCTGGTGGTGAAGATGACACATTCCTATATCCATAGAAAAAGACCACCGGTGAGATTTGGGTGAGGCTTCTCTGGGCAGAGCATAGGGAGGGCGCCACGGTGGCGAGATGTTAACTACCTCACCTGGTATAAAGGTCGTGGCTTCGATCCCCATCCCAACCCTGATGCATGCTCTCCCCGTCACCGCGTGGATTTTTCTCTGAATCCTCCGGTTTTTTTCCTTCCACATTTAGAAGCATGTGTTTGGAGTACTTGGCTGCTATTAATGTCCACATGATAAGCCATTTTGTTGAGCTATCATTTGCGGGCAAGTCACTTCTGAAAAAAGAGCTATGTAGCTCAGTGGGCCTTACCTGGTATAATAAAAAAAAGAGTTGAGCTTAGGATAAGTCCCAGTAACTCATTGTGAGCCAGGGGTATGGGGACTTCCCGCCCACCCCTTGTACACGTTACTCAAACCGGAGGGACCTTTTGGTGTCTTATGTTGCACACATTACGTTGCACACATAATTGTGGCTCAGTACTTGGGGTGACTCAAGCGGACCGACTGTACCGTACCAAAGCTTTTTCTGTGACCAGTCACAAGCTAATCACTCAGTTATTTCAATGCTAAATTCGCCTAGTTATTTCAATGCTAAATTCTCCTGTTTGATTTGTACTAGGTGCCTCGGTGAATGTATATGCTCTGACTTTAACATAGCCATTTCTGTGACCAGTCACAAGCTAATCACTCAGCCATTTCAATGCTAAATTATATGCTAATTCCTTTGTCAAGGCGCTTTATTTCTTCTCACACAGCTTAAAGGTCGTGATCTGAGCGTGGCTTTTTCACTCCAGCGCTGTCCTCCAGACAGTCTCGTCCCTTCACCTGATGAAGGCCGCTTGTGTTGTGGCCGAAACGTCGTGAGAATATTATTGCGTTATTTTATTTTAGCAATTTATTATTTTATTCTCATTCTACGTGACTTTACCGAAAGAACCAAAGAAGACGTACCAAAGCTGTGTAACCCACACGCGTGGAAGATCTCCTGCGCGGTTTCCATCGCCGTCCGTGTCACGCCGTCAACCAGCGGCGTGGCCGAGTGAGGGCGAGTGATCGGCTACGTGTAGCCAGTAGAGACGTTAACGTCTCAGTGTTGTACTCAAGAGTAAGACAAAAAATAAGGTTGGCCTTCGTTATACCCGTGTGTAGAATACATTAAGTACCCGCTGCACGACGTGTCACGGAAGTCGCTAAGAATTACATAGGCACGTTAAAAGCAATGGTGCAGCGCGGCAATTAGCTTGTTCTCTCACACCACTGCTGGCAGAAAGGGCATTTGGCCGACTTTTTCACGACGGCCAGATGTCTCGGAAGAGGTGGAGAAACCCGCACTCTACCTCACCACTTGCAACCAGACGATTAACTGTGATGTCAATCGGCATTGGGCTACTGCAACTTTTTAACGTTGACCGGACCTGTTCGCAAAGGTGGGAGAGTACCCGAAGCTTTACAGCGCCACACGCGACCTGCCGATCAAAACTGTCTCAAATCAGCTGCCGCGCCAGGAGATCGAATCGAACCGGCGATCTCTGGATTTTAAGTCAGAAGTGTGCTAAACCATGACCACGGCAGTTTTCCCTACGCTTCTGTTTTAAATCTGTTTATCGTCCGCCATGTGTACATAATGTATATATGTGCAGCAAACCGGTAACCGGTTTTTCGTGCGGTTACCGGTAATGGAAATTAATCAAACCTCGTTCACCAATCGATTTTGTAGGATGTGGATGGTTTTGTTTTATCCGTGTTTGTGGCGATTTGTTTACCTTTCTTGTACTTTGCACTACTCTGTTTTTTTGCACGTTGTTGTTACGTTCTCAATCCGCCCCCTGTTGGACGTCTGTGTAAAAGAGCTTTATAGATAATCGGATTCCTTCTGCAGTATAATCATTCTGATTAAGCGGCTACTCACCCGTCACGCTGCTACCCGGTTCGCTTCCGCGTCACGTGCCCACAGGGTGTGATGCCCCCCCCTCCCCCGCGCCCCCCCCCTCCCTACTGCCCCCTGCGCCCCCCTCACTTTGCAAAAGGCCTTGGGGCCATAGACGAGCACAAGCCAAGTCACTGTGCCCTGGTGGTTGTTGCTGTACTCGTTGCAGGCGCCCAGTGGCGGCAGTGTGGGCAGGAAAGTCTATAAATGCTGTGCAGTACCCGCTTACCGCCGTGTATAAAGACAAAGTATAATCCACGCAGAGCCTTTAAGCAGACTGCAGGAGCAAGTGCCTATATAAGCGAGCGCCTATGAAGGCCGTGTAAAATACGGCTACTGCACATGCCTCTGAAGACTGGGACACTGTTCAGGGATGTTCTGCCCACCGCCTCTCCGATCAGCTGAGCGTGTATTAGTAATAGAATACTGTACAGTATATGAACAAATTATGGTAAATTTTTTTATTGTATAATCTTCAATCTTGACTTAAAGCTTTCGTGACTGCAGGAATTCATATTCTTTGGGTCTTTAGGTAAAGTCACGTGGAACAAAAAAAATATAACACGAAACTGCCGATTGCTTGTGTTGCGATCGAAACGTCGTAGTTTCTTGTTATTTTTTGTTGTTCTACGTGACTTTACCGAAAGATCCACATAATGTATAATCTTGATTTAAGATTTTACTTGGTATTTCTAATTAGACCTATTTCTGACATTAAACAGTAAGTGCAAGTTGAAACCAGATGTGGGAAAGGGAATATACAACGTTCCAGGGACACATTTTGTGTACCTATTATCAAACATGAAAGGAAGTTAATGTGGAAGACGCGACGCACGTGTATGGCCGTTCCTGGGGCCAGTGAGTTATCACTGGCTCCAGGAACGGCATGCGTAGCTCCGATTAGCACGGTTGGCTACGTACGGTGTGAAAGAAGTTCAACACAGGACATACCCATGGACAGTATATTGCACGTCGGTGCTCAGCAATGTTGCACGCGCGTCCCCTAACGGGGTCCTCCTCTTCCGGGTCACGTGCGCCACAAGCGCGCGACATTTCAACGCCGACCCGGAAGCGGATGGACCCCCCCCCTGTAACGCCCCCCCCGTATCCCCACCACTCACCCACGAACGCGTCGCGATTCCCGAGCCGCGATTTCATCAAAGAATCGATTTTTTACTTTATTTCGACGTGCACGTAGTAGCGGCCGCTAGCCGCCGGACGGCGAATTTCCCGCGAAAGCCAATACATACAACGCATATGAATCGACGCACATGCACGACTTTTACACAAGCTTGTCAATGCGTGTATCGTGAGAGAGCGGAGTCGACGAACGCGAGGGGTGAATCGTCGATTCGTCATTTCGCCCTGGACCCCCCCTCCCTCCCCACGCACCGGGAGGTGAGGGGGTGGTGAGCCCCCCCGCCCCACCAGCGCGTGCCCATCCTGTCACGTGTCCGCGCGGCGATCGCGTGATGGGCACGCGCGGTTGTGGTGGTGGGGGGGGGGGTCTGGAGCTCTCCAGGGGTCTGAGGGGCGGGGCTGTTTGATGGTGGTGGTGGGGGGGTCAAACTGAGGGGGGCGTGGCGAGCATTAAGAAGGCGGGGCTGACAAGAAGGAGGGCGGGGTCAGACGGAAAGGGGCGGTGTCTCCCGTGAAGGCGTGGCTCCACCGTCGTTCCGGCTCCTCAGCCCCGCCGACATGGCCGGACGCCTGCCAGCCTGCGTGGTGGACTGTGGCACCGGGTAAGACGCCGCTTTGACACGCACCCCGGCGACCGCGAAGTTCGATCCCGCGCCCGGGGCAGTCAGGGTACGGGGAAATCACGGAGCCCCCTCGCCGTCTCCTGCGTTTTGCAGCCGCGGGGGCTGTCTGCCAACCCCGTCCTTGCGTGAGGAAATCCCGCCCGGGCAGCGCGGGAGTGAAGAGTGAGCCGGGGACTCACTCGGGGGTGGGGGTGGGGTTGGGACACCGGGACCAATTGACTTCGCTTCCTCAGACCCAGAACCTGACTCCCGTCCCCTGATCGCTCGGTCCAACTCTGCTTCCAGACCCGGTCGCCAACGCTGACGGGTTTCCACTTCCCTGAGAAAAACCCTCGCCGCCTGCAACGCTGCGCCCATCCCCGATTCCAATCCCTACCTCTAACTCTTGACTGATGACCCCAGGGCGCAAACCCACACCCCATCGCTAACTCGACGCGTGACATGGACCCCAACCTAACCCTGTCTTAACCCGCTACCCAGAACTGTGATCCCACACCCCGATCCCCCTATAATCATTGGACCTGAGCCCCCACCCTGACCTCGGCCTTCACCCTGACTCCGTCTCTGACCTCGGGGTCACCCACAAACCTCTCTCGGGGCCCCCTCGTCCAGAGACAACGCGACGTGGCCGCAACTCGCGTGTTAACAAAAAATCGTCTTTGCATGTTTGTAATGCATTTGCGTTTCTTCCCGTCCGCAACTTTTAACTACGCGGAAGTATTAGTCTCCGGCTCTCCTTCAAGGGTCCGTCTTTCTCACCACAGGCATTCTACCACCGTTGCGTTTTAACCTTTCAAGTGACATTTTTCTGGGATCTCTCGTGTCAAAACCGCTAGGCTGTGTGCGGTTTCTATCTTTCCCTAAACAATGTTAAGGCTCTGTTTCCACAGCCTATATTCTTGCATTCCATACTGGTTATAACCAAGACACCCTTCAGGAGTCTGTCATACGGTAGTCTCCCGTCACTATCCTGTACTGAACTATTTTAGTCTTTTCTAGACATTCTTCGAGGGTCTATTTCCTCACGGTGTCTAGACTGCTCGGATAATGAGTGTGCCTGGAATCCTTAAGGCTTTATCTTATCTTACCAACACATCTTGCTCGTTCTGTGTATCCATTCGCATTACACCCTCAAAATTGTGTCTTTGTAAAGAATCTGTTATATTTGGAATTTTGCCCGATAGCTCTTTCAATGGATCATCTTGACTCAATCTCTAACTTGCCCTCGCTTTATCCCATCCACATACATTGTTTCAGGGTCTATTTTAACATAGCTTATAGGTATCATTGGCTGTGTAGTCTCATTGGCTGTGTAGATGAGAATATTTTATGTTTTATTTTTATTTCCCTTCTACGTGACTTTACCGAAAGAACCAAGAATATGAATCCCTGCAGTCACGAAAGCTTTAAATCGAAATTTAGATGAGAATAGTTTGATGTGAGCCTCTTGCTTCGACCTGGGGAAGCTCAATTTTATTTTACACAAAATATGATTTTATTTTTGTTAGTAATTGTGTTTTGGCTGAACCCCCAGCCAAACTCATCGGCCTTTTGAACGTGTGTGGTGTAATCAGGATTGGCAGCGTCTCAAAACTTTGGCAGTTTTCTCATTGCTCTGATAAGGGCTTTGTGCGCCCCCTTGAGCCACGCCGCTTCCTTGCCTCCTCTCACCCTATGGTATTATTATCACATGAATTGCGAGGGAGCTGTAATGACGGTGCCGTCGCTCAGGATTTGCTTGAGCCCCCAGCACGTGTAAGTGTAACTCATTGGCACAGCCGTAAAATGTATACTGTCCAGTTGTCTGTAAGAATATCGTTTTACAGCAGTATGGTTATCCAACAAACTTGGCCGTGCCATTGGCTTTGTGAGCTCCACAGTTGAGGTCTATTTTTTGCATGTCAGGGAAACCTTAAGCAGATGATTGATTGAGCTTAATGTAGGGAAGGTATGCATTTGGGAACATGGCTCTGTTCCTTGGAATGGTTGCTGTGAAACTTTCTGCAAGATGCATACCACAATTTAAGACGATTTGGTGTTGTGTGTTATCTTATTTTACATTTGTCATGCACCTTTGATCAACATCCAAAGCACCTTGTTATAAAGATTGACATTGTGATGAGGCAGAATAACAGCAATCTGACAGTACTAGGACACTGTTGGACCAAAAGTGGAGCTGTATTTTTTTAGATTTAGTGCACATGATGGTGTCAATTCGGGTGGCTTTCTCACTTTTGAATTGCATATGGCTCAGCTAAAACTTGAAAGGTTATACATTTACATCACATTGGTTGGTTGCTTTTCATGCCTGCACACTTGACAAAAATGAGTTCCAGTTTGGCAGATGTCAATGGTCTCTGGATAAACTGGTTGTCACTGTAGACATTTAATATTTCCATTTCTGGTCCACTGGTTGAGCAATGAACCACTTTGATTTGAGTGTTCCAAAGTTTTTTTCGTGTTGAGCCATTGTTGAAATTATGCACTCCCTGAGGACCCTGTGACTGTTAGGAAAACAGGTGTATTGTCTAATACTTATTTTCTCACTTCAGGCACCACTGGAATCTGCTGCCATTGAATACTTTACTCTTTTCTCAGGTACACGAAGATTGGCTATGCGGGCAACACAGAGCCTCAGTTTATCATTCCATCATGTGAGTTTTTCAAGTGATAATATTTAAATGTGTTCGTAATTTAATTTAGCTGTTCTGAAACTACACAAGTGCAAATTGATGTTATTTAGAAATGCATTTTTGAACTGGCAGTGAATTGTAATTTGTTGATGGATATTGACATACGTCCCTGTAAAAAATTGTATACAATAATTGATTTTGAATTAAGTTAGCTATATTATATGCCAAACAGTAGTTTGTGAATTGTAAAGAAAACATTTTATCTCTGTAAAGTATGCCCTCTAATGGTGACAGCGAAAATTACATGAAATTCAGCATGTCCCACTCTGCTACAAGTTTGCTGCAAATGTATAGTATCCATTACCACTAAGAACTGCACATGCACCTTCTAATGTAGTGCAGTCAACTCGTTATTCATAAGGAAAGAAAGCATGTCTTTTTAGAACGTAAAATTCAAATAGATTTTTTTTTCTGGAACAACAAGGGTGATCTTTATTATGGAGTGATGGTTCAAATGACTGGTGCATGTGAATGTGTTTTTGTGGTATCATTGATTATGGTAATGATAAAACCGTATGACTGAGACTGGTGAATATTTGCCTTTTGTCTCTTGTTATAGGCATTTCCATCAAAGAATCCGCCAAGGTGGGCGACCAGTCCCAGAGGAGGGTCATGAAGGGTGTCGATGACTTGGATTTCTTCATTGGTGATGAAGCCATTGAGAAGCCCAACTACTCCACGAAGGTATGGATATCTACATCCATCCACATTTTGAATTGAAACTGAGGGTTGTGCTGAGAAACCTCAGCCCTTGCATGCCTGCAGTGTTTTTTTCTTCCAAATGAGCTGTGATGTTTATTTCGTATTCTCACCTGCATGGATAAAATAATAATTTTGGTCATGTCTATAATACTCTCACAAACTCCTTTGTAACTGTAAATATCAGATGTTGGGCAGAGGTATCATAGAACAAATTCTAAAGTATCTTCAAGTGATCTCTTATTCACAGGTGTCCAGCCACCTGGCTACAGAGATAAGTGTTTGTCACATAATAGTTAAAATTATATTTGTATTTCTGGAAATTAGCCATATTAACTTTAAAACCAACGTTAATTTGATGGGTTTTTTCATCAGTTGTCGGTGACTGGACCGAGGCCTTTAACTCACTGCACTTGATAACCCAGTTTAATCATGGGGAGCTACCTGGATTCGAACCCAGTATCAGAGGTGCCAACTCAGCTTAATGACGTCTGAGCAAACTGGTCACCTTATTCTATCAAGTATTTTAACATTTTAAAGTGGGATGATGCCTGTTATTGATGGCCCTTGTCCTTGGTATAGAGTTGTGTTGTGGAGAATTATACTATAAGCTTTATTTTTCCTACAAAACCAAGTAATTACATTACTCATTGGTTTTTTCGGTAAAGTCACGTATGTAGAAATACCATAAAATTATATTAAAATAAATCAATCACGACGTTTCGACCCCAACACAAGCGATCTTCATCAGGTGTAAAAAACAAAAATAGCGAGGGAGCATATAGGGTAACATCAACGCAACAAATAGAGAGCGTTAAACGGCACGGAGGTAAATACAACAAGAAGATGAGAGACGAGAATTCAACAAACCTAAGAAAAACTTATGTGATGCAAAACCAGTCAGGCCAACAACACAGTTAGACACTTGCCTGGCGGACCACGAATTTCAGAAGAATGCTAAATTTCGTGTTCATCCTCTGAGTTGAACATACCAGCATAGACAGAGTGAACAAATACGAGGTACAAGTCAGCAGAAATACATATACAGGGACACCAAGAGGCAAGAAGAGGAACGACGGACAGAGAAGCAAGAAAAAGGGTCGGAGGGATGAACAGACCGAGGCTTAAATTAAGCAGTAGAGGTGGGGGGAGGGGCCGAAGAGTAGATGTGGTGGGAGGGGGAGGGGCCGAAGAGAGCAAGGGGGCACGGTAGCAGAGGAGGGGAGAGGGGTAGGAGAAAGCAAGGGCGCAATAAGTTTAGGACAGAACTGCAAAGGTAACTTCCCCGTAGAAGTGTGTTAATAAAGAATTAAAGCTTTCGTGACTGCATAAATTACTCATTGGTTTTTTCGGTAAAGTCACGTATGTAGAAATACCATAAAATTATATTAAAATAAATCAATCACGACGTTTCGACCGCAACACAAGCGATCTTCATCAGGTGTATAAAACAAATAGCGAGGGAGCATATAGGGTGATGAACACGAAATTTAGCACTCTTCTGAAATTCGTGGTCCACCAGGCAAGTGTCTAACTGTGTTGTTGGCCTGACTGGTTTTGCATCACATAATTTTTTCTTAGATTTTTTGAATTCTCGTCTCTCATCTTCTTGTTGTATTTACCTCCATGCAGTTTAACGCTCTCTATGTGTTGCGTTGATGTCACCCTATATGCTCCCTCGCTATTTGTTTTTTACACCTGATGAAGATCGCTTGTGTTGCGGTCGAAACGTCCTGATTGATTTATTTTAATATAATTTTATGGTATTTCAACATACGTGACTTTACCGAAAAAACCAATGAGTAATTTATGCAGTCACGAAAGCTTTAATTCTTTATCAAGTAATTACATCTTTCGGATTCATTTTAAATATCGAAGACAAAGAATACTTATATTTTTTATTGTAAATAAATGGTTCTAATTGCTAAATGTTAGAACATGGAATGAATAGATGGGTAGCAGGCTGAAAAGGCTGTCTTGTTACAACTAATTAATGAGTGCATTTCATTGATGTTAGGCAGCCTAGACTTAAAAATCTGTACAATAAACCAATTGTAATTGTTTATCATCAATGGCATAATGTGCATAGTGTTTTTTTTACCACAATTCTAATGTGTTTTCTCTTTGTCAGAATACACTGATTATAATAAAAAAATAACAAAAAAAACTTTAAAAGACAAAAGTTAAAATCATGAACTCGGTGACACAATGGTTGCTTACTTGTACTGCACTATCTAAAGATATTGTCAAATATGTTTGCCAATAAATTACTATTATATCCTTAGCTCTTTCGGTAAAGTCACGTTGAAGGGAAACAATAAAATAATAATATATATATAAAACAATAAAAATTCTCACGACGTTTCGACCATAACACAAACGGTCGTCATCAGCAAACGTCGTGAGAATTTTTATTGTTTTATATATATTTTATTATTTAATTGTTTCCCTTCAACGTAACTTTACCGAAAGAGCTAAGAATATGAATTACTGCAGTCACGAAAGCTTTAAATCAAAAAATAAATTACTAATTAATGAATCAACATTAGACTTGACAGAATATCCATGGGGGGAAGATGCATTCTAATTAAATGTAGTTAGTTGGGCATTTGAACATGCAGTCTTTATGTCCACAAGTTATACAAAAACCCTGCTATTAAAAGCAAGCATGCACTCTTAAGTACTCTTTCACAGGCCTTGAATAAGCCTGTTTATATGTTTGTAATGTTTTTCTTGTTGCCGTTATAGTGGCCGATCCGTCATGGCATAGTGGAGGACTGGGATCTGATGGAGAGGTTCATGGAGCAAGTGATCTTTAAGTATCTTCGTGCTGAACCCGAGGACCACTACTTCCTCCTGGTAAGTGCTTATCAGTCTTCCGCAGGCATGAGCCTGGCTTTACCGCACCCACACTGCGTTAGTGTTTTACGAGGATGTTACTTACAAGAAAAACACATTTGCATGGAATTTTTTTTTTAAGTCAACGTCTGTGATCAACTTAACGGGACCAGTGCTGATCCCATTGGTAATCCTGAGCCAGGGTTGGAAAACCTCATTCCTCTGGTGGAGGCTAGTCTATTCATAGGACAACCGTTTTTGAATAGACACAAAGTGCTACAAATTTTATAACCTTGGATTGATAATGAGCCCAGTCAACCTTCATTTAGATTTTAATCTCCCAGCTGTCTGATTGTAAGTGGAGTGTTTTCACCACATCGCCACACGGCCGGTGCATATTATGCATGTGTAGTCACTCGATATGTATTTACAGCACTAGATAACACACACAAACCCAACATTACATCATCCAGTCTTCCTATTTTGCCTCTACCCACAGGCCACACATTTTCATTGATTACCACATCCTATGACTCATTTTTCTAACTCGTCAGTAATGAGGAAGATGTGCAGGTTTTGTGTAAAAATGCAGAAGCACAGTGATAACTGACTTTTAGTTGTCCATCAGATAATTATTATTTAAATGAAGGTGCAACCTGAAAACGAAATTTCCCTTATGTTCAAATATTATCTTAATCCACATTTTTTATGATGTCCACAGTTATACTATCTGGTTCAGGAGCTTACATTTTTTTTTCGTATCGTGTGGGGTGTTGTTTACTGTTTTAGCTATGACATCGGGAGCCTCCATTTGTCATAGGTCATTGGTCCATGTTTCTCCCTAAGGCCAGGATCCACTGGGGCAATTTGAGGCCAATTGTTTCTGGCATCCATCACCAGTGGTTGCTGCAGGATTTATTATTGTAAACGTTTTGTTTGGCAATATCTGAATAAATTTGATCACAAATCCCCCTGGTGGTCAACTGGGACAGCAGCATTAAATCGCATCACCGAGGTCACGTGACGTTTCTCAAATGAAACGCGCTTTATTTGAGAAATAGCAGCTTCAAGCCTATGCATGGTTTGCTTGGTCTTGTGATGGTGTGATGTATTGGTGTGATTTGACGATGTGGAGAGGGGGTGGGGCGTGATAGTGTGGTGAGATGGTATGACAATGTTGTGACGGTATAACCTGATGGTTTGGATTACTGGTGTGCCATTAGATTAATTTCAACAACAGATTAATTTCCAATCTGTAAATACACAATTGTGAATCAAACGCATTGCTTTGATTGACTAGAGGAAGGCCTGTCACTCCATACTGGTGCCTGGCAAATTGTCAAAGTTACTGATGGTTCATGTGTTGCTAGCGACGATTATCGGTAATGGGTTGCCCTTAAAAATGTTTTTCATGCTCGCATTGCATCATACGATGTCTTCATTCATTTTTTATCTTGCGCTCAATGAGTTTTTCTCATTTGTTTTTCTGAATATGAGAATTTTCTGTGTCTAGTTACATTATTTTAAGGCATGTCCACAATGATCCGACAATTTCTAGTTTAAACCCAGAATCAGTTGTGGATACAGGAACATAACATAATCTCTTAAGAAGACAAAGCAGTTTTAAGTGACTGTGGTCAGTGGCAGAGCCGGGTTTCCTGGAGTAATAATGTTTTCATGTTGTCTACATTTACAGGATTGGTGGGGTTTCACAGCTTTCTAATAATTTGAAGGACATGATTTCACATTTCAGTTAAGGGTTAACTCATATTTATTACGGTTGTATTGCAGTTGTTGCACTCTTGATGACGATGACTGATTGCTTTGTGCTGATATCGGTTGGCTTGCATTGTGCTATTTCCTGTTTTCTATGAACCTATAATCAACAATTCCTGATGATTTCCTGGTCAATTGTAGATGCACTCTATGATAAACAGCCCACAAGTCAAGCTGTGGTGTGAGTGCGATGTAAGTGTTATATACAATGTAGGACAGAAACATCTCTGGTCAATCTCGTACTGTGGCATTATATATATTCTGCTTAAGAGAGTATTGTAAACAAAATTGTATGACTCAAATGTTAAAAATGCCAAGTTGTACACTAGAAATGCACGTGCTTAATACGTTTGTGAATGGATGTTTTTCTTTGACCGCAGACCGAACCTCCACTCAACACACCTGAGAACAGGGAATATACAGCCGAGATAATGTTCGAGTCCTTCAATATCCCTGGCCTCTACATAGCTGTGCAGGTGAACCTTCAGCTGTGAATGTTAACATGTATTTATATTCTATACTCTTGTACACCCATAATAGAGGTTTTTTTGGGTTAGATCGCGTAAATATATACATGTGTCGTTAAAACCCGCCACCACCCGACACAGCCAACTAGTAAGGGTTGTCACATATACAGAACATGCCAATTCGTCACTAGTACAGCACACCGGTGTGTTGGAGAGCCAAGCCACAACATTTACAATCTGAGTACGAAGTTTTGCCAGTCATTACAACTAGCTTCATCAGGCGACAGCCAGATTTGTGGAGACTTCTTACTGCTTCATTCCTTGTATAGAGGCGTAGATGTGTTTACCACGCAGCTGCGCTCTTGCACAATGTGGGGGTGGGCGGGAGATTACTGAGGCAACGTACATTATGCATGTGCATTATGCAAGCCCTTTGAACTTGTCCTTCCTGTCTCTTGTGTTTATTATTAAAATAGCCCTACCAACGGTAAACCCTATTGAAGTACGCTGCCCTTTGTAGGCATGCATTTAAATAATGTATTATTTGATTAATCGCTTCCACGCAGCACTAAGGCGGTAGCTATCCGAACGGTTCAAGTTATTTTGATTTCTTTCAATTTCGATAGATTATCTAAGTAGTCTTGGCCAGTAGTAGCTAGTTTTGCACAAAACCTCAACATTATCAAAATCAATTGAGTATCCTTGTTGGCACGCGTGATCTGCTACTGCTGACAGGCGTATTTGGGAGAATTTAATATTTCTCTGATGTTCTTTGAGTCTCGTGCTGATCATTTGTCCTGTTTGCCCAACATAGCATTTACCGCACGTGCAGTTAATCCTGTACACATCCTCTGTTGATAGCTTCGGTAATACATATTTTGTACCAGATATTAAATTCCGTATTTTATGTACCATGCCAAATCTTACTCAGATGTTTTGTTTTTCCAAACATCTGGCTAGTTTATCAATTTCTCCTGCAATGTACGGTATTTTGATCGTTTTAATTACTTGGGAAGTTTCAATGCTCTTGTTATTTAATTTGGTTTTGGTATTCAGAACACGCGTGCCAACAAGGACACTCAATTGATTTTGATAATGTTGAAGTTTTGTGCAAAACTAGCTACGACTGGCCAAGACTAATTAGAGAATCTATCGAAATTGAAAGAAATCAAAATAACTTTAACCGTTCGGATAGCTACCGTCTTAGTGCTGCGTGGAAGCAAATCATCAAATAATACATTATTTAAATGCATGCCTACAAAGGGGAACGTACTTCAATAGGGATTACCCTTGGTAGGGCTATTTTAATAAACATGATAGACAGGAAGGACAAATTCAAAGGGCTCGCATAATGCACATGCATAATGTACGTTGCCTCAGTAATCCCGCCCCCCCCCCCCCCATCATTGTGCAAGAGCGCAGAAGGGTGGTCAACACATCTACGCCTCTATATAAGGAACGAAACAGTAAGACTTCTCCGCAAATATGGCTGTCGCCTGATGAAGCTAGTTGTAATTACTGGTGAAACATCGTACTCATTTTAGAAATGTTGTGGCTCGGCTCTCCAACACACCTGTGCGTTGTACTCGTGACGAATTGGCATGTTCTTTTTGCGTGACAACCCTTACTAGTTGGCTGTGTCGGGTGGTGGCGGGTTTTAACGACACATTTACGCGATTTAACCCTAAAACCTCTAATATGGATGATATTGGTCGCAAACGACTACGTGTTAAACTGACTCTTGTACACGTGCATTCTTCACAGCAAGCATTTTTTCCCACTGACGGTTGTGAAGCATACTGACTTTTCAGTAACTGTGAAACCAGTTGCCACAGAACTATGCAATATTAATTTGGGTCAATGATCTTTCATAAAACTTATGGTAATATATGACACGATATCAGTTTTGTACAGCAAATGAGCATGGAATGTATGCATGCTCTGAACTTATTTTTTATTCATTACCAAGCATATGCATATGAATTGTGAATACGACTTAAAGTTTACAAAAGCATAACTATATTTTGATTATAATAGAAAGTCCATTGTTTCATTCAGTTTATTGCGTTTGCCTTGGAGTGACTGAGCATACCTCCTTTGCAATTGTTTCATATGACGGTAGTAAAATGCTTCAATTTGTAGTGTAATAGCGCCGTCTGCTGTCCAGCAACGACAACTGTGGTGGACGAGCAGTACACACGCCGGTGAGCCTATACGCGGGTGTGTTGTTAGGGCGGAGAAACTGGGGCAAGGGTCATTGAAGACTCCATCTGGAAGCCCCTGGAACCCGCTAGTGGGTTCAAGAAGGGAGGTGCGGCCAGGACATAGCCAGGCGGCGCCAGGTAGCATAAAAGCAGCTGAGAGCGGGAGCCCAAACGAGTTTTTGTAAAGTGACCAGCTGGGGAGGGAGGTAAGGGTACCACCAATGCTTGACCACTTGGCTTTTAGGGGTGCCGGAACCCATGATATGCATCGTAAATCCAGTTACGTTTTACCCAGCTGATGACCGTGCGTGTGCGCACACCTACAGGCAGTCCTGGCGTTGGCCGCCTCTTGGACGTCACGTCAGGTTGGGGAGAGAACTCTCACAGGCACGGTCATCGACAGCGGCGACGGCGTCACCCACGTCATTCCTGTGGTGAGCTGCGTGTCTCCAGTGGGGCTGAGATTGTGGTGGGGAAGGCTTTCGTTGGCTTTACAGTGTGGTTTAGTGAGGTGTGATGTCAAGGATTCATCACAGCCAGTGCTGTTGGATGGCCACCTAGGTTGCAGGTTGATAATTCACAATGCCTTATGATTTGTGGTCATAATGTTGAATGACAGGAGAAGTATGATTACAATACAATTTGGGAGGGGGGTTGTAATTTATTCTAAGGCCATAGATGATCTGAAAATTGGATCAAGTTTATACAGTTATTTAAATATGTATGAATCGTTCAAAAAGGTATTTGAGAAATAAAAACTAGAATTTAGCAGCGTATTAAATTAAATCAGGAATAAATTCGGTTATAGCAGCACAAAAAATGGGAGGTAGTCAACAAGACATACAGCAGTAGCTGTTCAGGTATGAAGAACAACTAGGCATATGATAAAAAGCTCTTTTGATGTCTCCTTTTTGAATGTGTTTAGTATTGCTAATGGTTACAGGTTGCTAATTGGAGATAACTGACATTCTGAAAGACATTTAAGCCGCAAAAAAGGGCATTATTCTTGATATTCTCTGAGCAGCTTTAGATGCTTCCACTTGTATAACATTATCTTCATAACTTAAATAAATATATAACAGTAATAAGTTTACAACACACTGTAACCTCAACTATTGAGCGGAGACGGTTCAATTAAAATCGGAAAAATCTGTATATTTGTAAGATGGATGTGCAGTTCTGAGGGGTCATGCTGTAACCCCAGGGTTTGTCTAGCACAGTGGTTCTTAACCTGGGTTCGATCGAACCCCAGGGGTTCGGTGAGTCGATCTCAGGGGTTCGGCAGAGCCCCCGCCACGGAGGTCCGGACACACTTGAATTATTGTGTAAATTTGTGATGACACACACGGCCCGCTTGGCCATCACTGGCTGCAGATGATCATGCTACACTGCTTGGCCAATCAGCGCTGCGGGGAATTTAGTGCGTACTCAGTAGTCAACGTGTGACTGTTGTTGTCGTACGTCGTGTGATTTCTTTAATATTTTATCCATACTAACTATGTCGGGCAAAAGAAGAAAGTGGTCGGACGAATATGTACAACATGGATTCTCATGTATCACGGAACGTGATGGGAGTGAGCGTCCTATCTGCATGATTTGCAACGCCAAGTTGAGCAACTCTAGTCTTGCACCGGCAAAACTAAAGGAACACTTCTTGAAGCTGCATGGAGACGGGGAATACAAGAACACAACACTTGCTGAATTCAGGGTGAAGAGAGCCAGATTCGATGAAAGGGCCACTCTGCCTGCTCTTGGATTTGTACCTGTTAACAAACCGATCCTGACAGCATCGTACGAAGTTGCTTACCTGATCGCAAAGCAGGGCAAGCCACACACCATTGGTGAAACACTTGTGAAACCAGCTGCATTAAAGATGGCGAATCTGATACTCGGAACAGCGGCCGAAGGTAAATTATCCCAAATTCCCCTTTCAAATGACACCGTCAGTGACAGAATAGAAGACATGAGTAAAGACATCTTGGCTCAAGTAGTCGCGGATCTGATTTCAAGCCCGGCAAAATTCAGCCTTCAACTCGACGAAACCACAGACGTTTCTTATCTAAGCCAGCTTGCTGTTTTTGTACGCTATGTGAAAGACGACATGATAAAAGAAGAGTTTTTATTTTGTAAGCCTCTTACAACAACAACAAAGGCAGCCGATGTGAAGAAGCTTGTGGATGACTTCTTCAGAGACAACAATCTTTCATGGGATATGGTTTCTGCAGTTTGTACGGACGGAGCTCCAGTCATGCTGGGAAGAAAGTCTGGTTTTGGTGCGCTAGTAAAGGCCGATGCACCACACATCATTGTGACGCATTGTATTCTGCACAGGCATGCGTTGGCAACAAAAACCTTACCTCCAAAAATGGCAGAAGTATTAAAAACTGTGGTGGAATGTGTGAACTATGTGCGAAAAAGTGCTCTGAGGCACCGCATCTTCAGTGAGCTGTGTAAAGAAATGGGCTCTGAATTTGAGGTACTTCTGCTCCATTCTAATATTCGGTGGTTATCCCGGGGACAGGTGCTGAATCGTGTTTTTGCCATGCGTGTGGAATTAGCCCTGTTTTTGCAAGAGCACCAACACTGCCATGCAGATTGCTTCAAAAATCCTGAGTTCATTCTCATTTTAGCGTACATGGCTGATATATTCGCAGCTCTCAATCATCTCAATCAGCAGATGCAGGGTGGTGGAGTCAATATCATGGAAGCGGAAGAACACCTGAAGGCTTTTCAAAAAAAGCTACCGTTATGGAAACGACGAACAGAGAACAATAACTTCGCAAACTTCCCGCTTCTGGACGACTGTGCAAGTAAGATCGAAGATGTGTCTGGAATCGAAGATATTTCTGTATCCACGGAACTGAAGCAAACAATTGCCACGCACTTAGATGAGCTTGCAAAGTCTCTCGACGGATATTTCCCTACAAGAGAGTCATATCCAGCATGGGTGAGACAGCCGTTCACGTTTGCTGTTGAAACAGCAGATGTCAATGATGAATTCCTCGACGAAATCATTGAAATTCAGCAGAGCCAGGTTCAACAGCAACTCTTCAGAACAACAACGCTCTCAACGTTTTGGTGTCGACAAATGAAGAAGTATCCAGTTATTGCTAAGAAAGCCCTGGATTTTTTTATACCATTTGTTACAACATATCTTTGTGAGCAATCCTTTTCGAGGATGCTGGACATAAAAACGAAGAAAAGGAACAGACTTTGCTGTGAAAATGACATGAGAGTGGCACTTGCCAAGGTGAAGCCACGCATATCTGAACTGATCTCTCAAAGGCAACAGGCAACAGCAGAAGTCACATTGATTTTCAGGTATGTAATTTGTTGTGAGTTTATGCATTGTGTTGGTTTTATTCTTTGAACAAGGTAATGTTCATGCACGGCTCATTTTGTGTACCAGTAAAAAACATATCTATGTCTTGAATTTGAAAAAAAATCACATTTTATTTTTCACTAAAGAGGGGTTCGGTGAATGCACATATGAAACTGGTGGGGTTCGGTACCTCCAACAAGGTTAAGAACCACTGGTCTAGCAAAACAGACAATGTTTCATGCCTCGGTGGGTTTATTTCAGCTGCTGGTTACAATAAGGATACAAAAACAACTTGGTATATGCATATCTTTGTACTGAGAGTGAACCTAAGTCTGAATAAAAAAAATGAGTATAGAGATTTTGAAAACGAATCTTCCAAATAAACTTTGTATAAGCCCAGATCTGGGGGCACTTTTTCATGCATTTTTCTATGCAGCTGAAGAGGCAATCAAATGTGTTCCCTTTTGGGATGTCAAGCAAAAAGGCTGTTTCTTTTTTACTGCATGGGTTTTAGAACCTGTTTTGTCTTTTTGTCAATGGCACAATGGGGATATAATTCTCCCAGATAATTGGGTTTCCTTTGTGTGATCATCACCATTGTTTATTTAGTGTGGAATACACAATGATTTATTGCATAACATACAAAATTAAATCTGAATAATGCCTCTGTGGGTAGAGGATAAACTCATCATGTCGGCATTGCCTAGAGCTCAACCATGAATTGGATACATGCCAGCAATGTCGAGCCCTTATAGACAGCACACTGAAGTGAACAGCTAGCTCCACATGATGTAAAAACTGACGAGGATTGACGTAGCTTATTTGTCCTTTTTGTGATAATTTTCTACCATGCTTAACTGCACCATAAACATTGCATGAATGTAAGTCATATGTGTATGCAGTTTACAAAAGTGTGCCTTGTATTTCACAAGGTGATTTCTCACAATAGCATTATTATTGCTCCGTCATAGGGTGTCTCACCAAGACTCGCCGATTAACACCTCGCCACTGTCATTACCACTGCCTTTTGATCGAAAAATATACCCTCGGATAATGTTGCTCTCCATTATCTATGAAGACTAGCTATTGAGCTTAACATTATCCTTGCCATATATTTTATTTTATGATAATAGTGGTGAGGTTTATTAGGTCTGTCCTCCTACAGCACTGATAATGTTCACAACTCCTTGATATGGTGATCCACAATATTCCATCCTCATCCTCCTGTTTTTCTCATCTCCCTATTTGCAACATAATCTCCATTTTTAATGTTAACCATCAGTTTTATGCTGATGACACCTAGCTCTACCGTGAACCCATTCGGGCAGTGATCTTCTCCATGGGTGACCAAGAGTAATTGGTAGGAATTTCACATTCCCATGGTGTGGCTATTTTCTCTCTTAGAAGCCAATGTTGATTTCTAATGGAGTGGGGTATAGTTTATGAACAAGAGCTATAAAGCTCAGTGGGCCTCACCTGGTAAAAAAAATCGTTCAATTTACTTTATTGATCCAGATGGGATGATAGGCTGACGTCCACTCGGGATTTGAACTCACAATCTTTTTTGTGCGTAATACTTTACTCCAGAGGGGAATTTCAATTCGGATTGTGAATTGAGATTTCTGTTACAGCAAGATGTGTTAGGAAGAGGTTGGGTTAAACCTGATAAGTATGCTAACACACGATTAGGCCTTCTGTTACCAAAACCAGTATTGTAATGTTGAGCTGGTTCATCTGTGCATGTCATGTAACAGTCAAACATGTTGAAAGGTGTTCTTAACATTTTAAGTATAATTTTAATTGTATTTAAACTGCTATCCATCTCTATTCAGATCTCTTGTAAATTAAGTGAAGCTGTCTAAAACATACATGAACCTGCCATTGCTATGATGTATTATTGTTATTCTGTGAAAGAGATATTGTTTTCATTCATTAATAGTGTTTTCATACAAAGATCATTTCCAATGCATTTAAATTACGTCAACGGCTGCACAAAAATCGTCTGCTGTGGCCTATGCAGGCAGAAGGATACGTCATTGGAAGCTGCATCAAACACATCCCCATAGCTGGCCGCGACATCACCTACTTCATCCAGCAGCTGTTGAGGGAGCGGGAGGTGGGAATTCCACCAGAGCAGTCACTCGAGACAGCCAAAGTGATCAAGGTAAGAGAGATTTCACACCCGTTGCCTGCTTTAACTCATAGTTAAGCACGCTTTGTGTCGTCGGTCTTGCCACAGCTTTCATGGAGCACAAGTAAAGATATTTGTGTAAACGGCTATACAAAGCGTATTATTAAATAATACACATTACGTATTGTTAAACACAAGCGTATTATTAAATAATACACATTACATTTTGATTAAAGAATTACTAATCTACAACTCATTACTAATCATAACTAATGACTGATTACTAATCGATTATATAATTACAATACCCCCCCCAAAGCCTCTAATCACTGCACCTGATATGAGTTAAGTGATGACGTCACCCTGCTGCTCTATATAAAACCGGGAGAAAGCGAGGGCTTTACCATTCTGGCGAATTGCCCGATGATGCTGGATGTATTTACCAGCGAAACGTCGTACTCAAACTGTAAATGTGGATTCACTCTTCAACACACCGGTGGGCTAAAGTAGTGAATTATTTGTCTTTTGTCAACGTGACACTTTTTTTTGCTGATTGGCCGTGTCGGGTGGTGGAGGGTTACAACACATTTATAAATAAACGCGATCTAACCCAAAAACCTTTATTATGAATAATATTGGTCGCGAAAGCCTACGTGTTAAACTGGCTATACAAAGTTTACACTGACCAATAGCTTGTAGCAGATACTGTACATCGGTAATTATCAAAATATGTTTTTGATGAACACTGAACCACTTACGGACGTGTCAGGTTTCAAACTAAATGGGCACAATAATATTAGGAGTGTTCTTGAAAGCCACAACTATGTAAATATAGGTTGTAGATGTGCACCCAGGACTATCAAATACAACTTCATCATTAGAAGCGACTCTGATGACATCACTGTGCAGTTACTCCTGTACACTTTAATGCCTAACTGGCAAAGGATCGTAGAGGCCTCCACTCTCACAAGAGTCTGTGCCTCCTGAGCCGAGAGGCCTGTGCCCATCTTGATCTACTGCCAGATGTGAAAAGTCCGGTATGCTGGACACTTTATATTTCGATTTGGTCGCATGTCACACTTTTGACTTGACACATGGGTGCCATGGGCCAAGGCGATTGTACGGTACCTTCCATAGGTCACATGGTTGCAGTTTCTGAGGCCGGAAGGTGCTCTGATTGCATTGTTAGTCAAAAAGTGAAAACAGCGTGCTCAAAGAATGCACTGCTGACATTACATGTGAAACGCCGGCAACCTCGACGCGTGGGACCTCCAGTAGTGAACATATCTTGGCCCTGTGCAGCGTGACGACGGGCACGACACAGGTATTGTGTATTCATAGTTTCACTGTGAGACTCTACCACTTTGGCTTCCGTACATTATTAAGCCATCCCATTATAGGCTATACAATACCAATGCGTCGCTGGATTCAGGGGGCTGAGGAACCTGAGGGGAGGAAGGCTATGTCACTGCGGACATACGTGCATGGGGTGAACAGTGCTGCGTTATTTTAAAAGGCTGCGTTCCTTTAAAATGCGACTACCAGTAGAGGGCACTCATCATTCATAGAACCCTCCATAGGCTCCAACTGCACCATTGTTAATTTGGCCCTGCTTGTTTTCCTTCCATCACTTTTAGACACGTGACTGCACTCTTCCACCACTCAGTACTTTCGTACGGCTTATATTTAGTTGACACCCTTTCATACAATAACACTCATTTAACACTTGATACTGGGACCCAACTGCTTTTTTTGATGTTGTGAGCTATAGTGTAAATGTGTTGGCATATGTGGTGACATGTTGTGTTGTCTTTGTTTTTAAGGAGCGGTTCTCATACATATGTCCCGATATCGTCAAGGAATTTAGCAAGTTTGACGCGGACCCTAGCAAATGGATGAAGCAGTACACAGGCATCAATGCCATCACTAAAAAAGAGTTCACCATTGACGTGGGTTATGAGCGCTTCTTGGGACCGGAGATCTTCTTCCATCCTGAGGTATTATATGAGCGCACAACATTCTACACAGCAGCATGAGTTACAGGCGTGGGTGCATGTGCAGAGATTCACACCAAGCTGACACTAATTAAACGTATAAACATGTAAATACATGATATTCTGCACACGGTCTATATTTGGCACATGCTATGGTATTGTTTATTAAGCAATGGTAAAGATGCTGGTTTTCTCATTCAGGAATTGCCCAACCATCCCAATATAGGATAATGGGGCTTCGTGAGGATTTTCTGTATTATTGTAATATCTTAAACAGCCTTGCTGTCAGAAATCAATCGGTTCATACTTGTACACTTTGGTCACATGAGGCCTGGATTAACCTGGATAATCCTATCAATCAAGGAATAGAGGAAAGTTACCGTAGAATGCGATAACCAGTAATGAGATGGATAGATGGTGTGCCGTAGGTCATTTGGAGGTCAAGTGCTGGGTATCAAAAGCTAGCGATGTATTAAGAAGGCTTCCGAAGGCATAATGATGCACTATAGGGTACAGTGAGGGAAAAAAGTAATTGATCCCCTGTTGATTTTGTATGTTTGCCCACTGACAAAGAAATGATCAATCTATAATTTTAATGGTAGGTTTATTTGAACAGTGAGAGACAGAATAACAACAAAAAAATCCAGAAAAACGCATGTCAAAAATGTTATGAATTGATTTGCATTTTAATGAGGGAAATAAGTATTTGACCCTTCTGCAAAACATTGCTTAGTACTTGGTGGCAAAACCCTTGTTGGCAATCACAGAGGTCAGACATTTCTTGTAGTCGGCCACCAGGTTTGCACACATCTCAGGAGGGATTTTGTCCCACTCCTCTTTGCAGATCTTCTCCAAGTCATTAAGGTTTCGAGGCTGACGTTTGGCAACTCGAACCTTCAGCTCCCTCCACAGATTTTCTATGGGATCAAGGTCTGGAGACTGGCTAGGCCACTCCAGGACCTTAATGTGCTTCTTCTTGAGCCACACCTTTGTTGCCTTGGCCGTGTGTTTTGGGTCATTGTCATGCTGGAATACCCATCCACGACCCATTTTCAATGCCCTGGCTGAGGGAAGGAGGTTCTCACCCAAGATTTGACGGTACATGGCCCCGTCCATCGTCCCTTTGATGCGGTGAAGTTGTCCTGTCCCCTTAGCAGAAAAACACCCCCAAAGCTTAATGTTTCCTCCTCCATGTTTGACGGTGGGGATGGTGTTCTTGCAGCATTCCTCCTCCTCCAAACACGGCGAGTTGAGTTGATGCCAAAGAGCTCTATTTTGGTCTCATCTGACCACAACACTTTCACCCAGTTGTCCTCTGAATCATTCAGATGTTCATTGGCAAACTTCAGACGGGCATGTATATGTGCTTTCTTGAGCAGGGGGACCTTGTGGGCGCTGCAGGATTTCAGTTCTTCACGGCGTAGTGTGTTACCAATTGTTTTCTTGGTGACTATGGTCCCAGCTGCCTTGAGATCATTGACAAGATCCTCCCGTGTAGTTCTGGGCTGATTCCTCACCGTTCTCATGATCATTGCAACTCCACGAGGTGAGATTTTGCATGGAGCCCCAGGCAGAGGGAGATTGACAGTTCTTTTGTGTTTCTTCCATTTGCGAATAATCGCACCAACTGTTGTCACCTTCTCACCAAGCTGGTTGGCAATGGTCTTGTAGCCCATTCCAGCCTTTTGTAGGTCTACAATACATCCTTGGAGAACTCTTTGGTCTTGGCCATGGTGGAGAGTTTGGAATCTGATTGATTGATTGCTTGCTTCCGTGGACTGGTGCCTTTTATACAGGTAACACGCTGAGATTAGGAGCGCTCCCTTTAAGAGTGTGCTCCTAATCTCACCTCGTTACCTGTATAAAAGACACCTGGGAGCCAGAAATCTTTCTGATTGAGAGGGGGTCAAATACTTATTTCCCTCATTAAAATGCAAATCAATTTATAACATTTTTGACATGCGTTTTTCTGGATTTTGTTGTTATTCTGTCTCTCACTGTTCAAATAAACCTACTATTAAAATTATAGACTGATCATTTCTTTGTCAGTGGGCAAACGTACAAAATCAGCAGGGGATCAAATACTTTTTTCCCTCACTGTACATCCTTGGTCAGTACCGTAGCTACATATTAGTGTGGTGCGAGGTGCCATCCTTCTCCCTCTCCCCCCACTCCTCCACTGCACTGCCCCACCAAAAGTTGTAGCTACCATTCGTCACTCTAGCTTCGTTTCTAATTGTTCAGCTATACATTCGGGTGGTGCTGTAATACAATAAAGCTGGACACTCCAGAATCACCGATCAGCCCATATATGGAAGAAAGTTGGTGTGGTGTTGCCCGTAGGTGCATGTCTTTTCCCATACATGGTTTTGTGAAACCTGAATCGAGGTATATTGTATCGATTCTGCTCAAAGTCGATCGGACAACCATGTTAAGAGTAACGATTCATTGAGGGTTAATCAATGCTTAAGTTAATTGAGTGATTCCATTGGTTCATATAGGGTCATGTGAAACGCCCTCTTTTTGTTGATTTGCATGATTGGTGATTCACTCGCAGTCCGTTTTTTTCGCATAACAACGCCCCTATTAGGAGGTGCAACCGTGGTGGCTGCCTTGCCCTTGTTACAGCACTGTCATCAATCTTCGTTTCAAGGCAGTGTTAAACCTAAAAACTCAGTGCCTCTTTCACAACCTTAGGTGTGAGATATAACGAAATGCTAAGTAAATTATACGGTCCCAATTCATCTTATAATGAGGGAATATCACTACATCACAACGATGCAGAAAGGCAGTTGCAAGGAGGGGCATGCATATTTTCCTGCACTGCATTCCGAACATTGCTACACAGTTCACTGCTTGTGTATCTATTTTATAACTGCTATACAGTACTGCCCATTCTTATAACATGAACCACTTGTGCCTCCTGATTGTGGAGGCACTATAAATAGTTGTTTTGCTATGATGCAAACAAGTGTTTAGAGTAGATCAGTACAATAAAATAATTGTGTAAAGGGAGTTCCAGCCCAGGTTAGTCTTGAACTTCGACCTTTATTACGTCTTTAGCATAGCACATAACACTTAAGGCAATTAACTCCATTCAAATACCACGAATCCATTCTATCCGCTCCTTTTATAACGCCCTCTGTCCTTTCTGGAACTTTCCCTTATTCCACCAATCACCTTGATTTCTCTCAACGGTCTTCTAACCAACCCCTCATTTGGATTTGGATTTTCGTAGGCTCTTTCTTATTACCCTGGTAACCAATCCGATTTTTAATGGTTCTCCATATTCAAATCAGATTGCGTGCCCTACATTGTCTCCCCCAGTGATACCTCACCAATGAGTCGAACATGGTGTTTGAACTCACAAGCTGTTAGTGTATATTGCTTCATAAATAGGATTCACCTCTCAGTGTCCCTTACAATGATATAATGATGAAGTGCTAACATAATTATTTGATTGGAACAGAAAATAAAATTCAAGCTGAAAATTAGATTTAACAACACACAAAGGTGTGCTTTACATGATCAAAATATCTCAATTCAAACCACCGACTCAAATAACTAAATATGTGGCCTTTTTTTTCATTGAGACTACCAACTCAAAGAGTTGAGAAAATGACCATTCCAACAGGCAGCAGTGAAACAAAGACAATCGTCGCTGCCGCCATATACCTCCCAGAGGCTTATAGCGGCAGCGAGCATTGACTGCTGCACTAATGAGACCTAATGAGTTTTAATGAGGTGTATTGCAGCATCAAACATTGATTACTGTCCTGATGAGTCCTAATTAGAATGACAATGGTGCCTTTGTTCTAATGTTGTCTGTGAGGATGGTCACATTTTTTCAACTCTAGGAGTTGATGGTATAAATTACAAAATGGACACACATTTAGTTCCTTTTTTGAGCTTGTGGTCTGGATAAGCCTGAGAGCTTTTGTTTCAAGATGATTGAATGAAATTACTTCATAAATTTCACATTTTATTTGACAGCAGCAGATATCTATGGTCACACACACGTGTCCTCATGTTATTCTTTCAATTATACATGTGTGTTACACATGTTGTGGAGTCAACGGCTTTGGCCATGTTGACTGATCGTGAAACATCACTGTCTGTTAGCATTATTAACAATTATTTATGCATGAGTATAATGTGTAATGGTTGTCTTCTCCAGCAGAGGGGGTATCATTGGTATTTTTTTTATGGGTATGGTGGCTCACATCGTTTTAATTAAAAACATGCAGTAATTTCAGGGTTGCACCCTTTCCTGCATACAAATTCCATGCAGTTTACAAATATGTCAATCAATGCAATTTAGTGGTTTGAGTTGCAACTATTTTCGCATCACTTGGGTCCATATTTTTATTATTGAATCTGTAACCTCCCCACATATTTAACACTCCTTTCTTCATTGAGGCGTTGGTTGGGTTTAACAGCACTATCATAGATGCTGGCCCCTCATTACTGTCAAACCCAGCCTATGACAGTGATGTGTGTTCATCATGAAACCATTTCTAGCTGGTTGTGTACAGACAATACTGCTTGTTACAAGCGAAAATGCATTTTTCCAGTGTTAGATATAATGTTAATGTGCTTGTGAAGTGTGAAAATTTCACGTACTTATGTTGAAGACCAACTTCGACAGCTTACAAACACATTCAAATTCACACCATAGCTAGCAAAATATTAACTACTTTTTAATGCACTGAATTATTTGCCTAATTTTAACAAGAAAGCCAGCTTGTTGGATTTCATATATCACCGCACCAGGCAGGCTAATTAAAGAAATAAAAATGTAAATGAAATTGAACAAAATGTATATATATAGTAGAAACATTTACCTACTATAGGATTTTGAAGATGTTATTTAATGTGCAATGTATAACAATGCAGTCAAACATGCCTCATTGTTATAATGTATACAATATGTAATTAAAGTATAATACATTTAAATCTTGATTTGAAGCTTTCGTGACTGCAGGAGTCCATACTCTTTGGTTCTTTCGGTAAAGTCACGTAGGTAGAAATAAAACAAAATAAATCACGACGTTTCGAATGCAACACAAGCGCCCGTCTTCAGGTGAAAATCGCAATAGCCGCGATGTCTGCTGGGAGCAGCACGATGTCTGCTGCCTTGTGAAGAGAAGCTTGTGGTCGCGGCATCTCTTCAGAAAGGTGAAAGAGTATGGTCTCCTGCAGTCACGAAAGCTTCAAATCAAGATTGAACTGCCTCTACGGGGAGGGTTTCCACTCGTCTGTTAGAGCTTTTAACAGACATGCGAGACAAGAAGGCTCACATGATCGAGTCTCTCACCTTTCTGAAGAGATGCCGCGACTACAAGCTTCTCTTCACAAAGCAGCAGACATCGTGCTGCTCCCAGCAGACATCGCGGCTATCGCGATTTTCACCTGAAGACGGGCGCTTGTGTTGCGTTCGAAACGTAGTGATTTATTTTGTTTTATATCTACCTACGTGACTTTACTGAAAGAACCAAAGAGTATAATACATTTACTTAAGTCAATATGTAAGTGGCTGTTGATGGTGGGTAGGGGGTGACAGGGGAGAGGGTGGTGGTCTGTACAACAACGCATGCACTGCACACACTCGTACATTTACAGTAATACATTTACTTCATATAGTAACACAGGGTTGTTGTTTTATTTGATTAGTTTTGCAGCAAGTTCGACTTTTTAGTTAGCCGGACAAGAACTGCCTGCTCCTCATCCGTCTTGGATTGTTTGGCAAATTCCAGATTTTGAAAGTGGCAAGAAACCAGAGTAGAAAAATAAATGTATAAATACCAGAGGATGACACATAAAGATCCGTAGATATAGGTCAGTGACCTACTTTGTACCTATAGCTACTGTCTACCTTACAGGCCAGCAGATTTGTATACAATAAAATATGCATGGTATATTTTTACCTTTCCTGTAGAGCGTTTGAATGCAGGTGTGACACCACACCCGAAATGACATCATATGCTTCATGAAGCATGTGAACTGTGTGTCCATTGTAAAATATACCTTATGCTGTGTTTGTTTCAAATATAGTCTTGACAAATGAGTAATCGTATTTCTTGCAGTTCTGCAACCCAGACTTCACCCAGCCCATTTCAGAGGTGGTGGACAATGTCATTCAGAACTGCCCCATTGATGTGCGGCGTCCACTGTACAAGGTGAGTGCTCCTGTCTGTCAGATGGGCTTTGCTCTTATTTGGTCAAAACATTCCACCAAATCTCAGGGCTTAAACTGCCAGAACTTATGCTTCAGACTCTTGCCTAGCAGAAAAAAGGGAAACATGCTTTTATGTGCCCTTTAAAAATATACACACATGTACGTGCATGCCGGTATATGTTGTCAAGTATAATTGTTTTTTTTAGGGCAGGTTGTATTTCCCTTAGGCCTGGTGTTAAATTATTAATTGTGGAATTAAAATGCTTTGGTTAATAAAGACTTCACATCATGTCAACTGCTTATGTTCTGAGAAGGGAGTTGTCTTTGCAGCCTATATTATTCCTCACGCATTATTTGTCTGGTTCGACATACGAAAGCACCACTTATTGACAGCTGATAATTAAATATCTGGCCTGAATATTTGACCAGCATTTTGCAGAGCCAGCTCACAAACGACTGTGCACTCCCACAGGTGGCCTTTTTACATTTACTGTACAAAAATCTGGCCAATTGACCAAATTTTTGCATACATCTCCATTTGCATGCTGCAGCCAGTGGTGGAAATCTCACATTCAAATCCTGATCAAAAGTTGACTGAACCTATAATTACTCAGAATGAGCACCGCTCTGCGAGATGTAAAACAAACCCGTAGTCATTTTTTGTAGAGACTGGCCCTTCCTTGCCTTGGAAATATTAAATGTTCACGTTTTAAGCAGAGCCACCAACAGAGCTGAGCACTACTGAAGGCTAATTTTAGCACTGACATACAACTCGTGACTATACAAACAGTGCAAATCGTGTTTATTATAGTGAAACAGTGATTCCATAACTGTAAGCCTATCAATTACAGTGAAATCACCTGTTGAAAAAAAGCTGAACATTGTAAAGGCTGGTATCCTTGTTATTTTGTTTTATCAAGTTCTTTTAAACATCTGTGCAATATAATTTCTTCCAGTTTAAACATCTGTGCAATATAATTTCTTCCAGTATCTACGTTAGACAACTTAATAACAGCATATCAGCTTTTAACTTTTTTTCTATCAGCTTTTAACTTAAGCTTTTAACTGTCCAACAGTTGCAGCAACTGGCAGAAGAAAACAAGCCATGGTGAAGTGTGGTGGCATTTTATACTGTTGGCCCAGCTTTGACCTCTTTTATTGTTACAATACATTATGAATGTGTGCCAAGCACAAAGGGCAGCTAACTCTGGATTACATAATTAGACAAATAGCAGTCATTTGAGTTGCCACTGGATGACTGCTTCACTCCTCTCAATAGAAGCAAATCTATAAACTTCCCAAGGTGGGGGGGGGGGGTCCATAATAAAATTAACTTTTTTTCCCCCTCCTAAAACACAATATTGGGAAAAATTTAAATACACGTCAACAAAATACCAATTTTAAGGGTCACATTTAGGGAGCGATGCTTCCATCGGATCCGCCACCGACTTCCCCACCCCCCACACCCTTCCAATCTTGCGCTACGTTATTTCTCCACCAATAATTGCATTTGATCATCAGCTTTGACCAAACCAATTAGTTTGAAACAAGTATAATCATTGATGGAATATTCAGCGTATCCCTAATTTGTGCAAACTCAAAATGCACTTATTCTACCATGGTGGTCTTCATTTGGGAAGGGTGAGGCAAAGAATTTTGCAGACTGCATGCATGTTGGAAAGGCACACGGAGTGGATCGCCAATTTCACTTCACATTCACGTCGGTGGCTATGCCCTCCCCGCCCAGGTACAGAGCAGTGCGGTTTCACACTGGAATTGTGCCTTTTGAGTTGTGGCTACATTTCCAACACTTCTGTAGCCCCCACCCAAACTCTCGCTGAACCATTCCACCATGCAGAATGAAGGCACCAAAAAATTTGTAATTCCTAAACTTTCTGCACAGAGCAATTTTTCTATCAAAAAACGTGTGGAATGACCAATAAACACCACAAACCAGGCCTCAGACTTTTTATCAGAAACTTGTTTGGCAATACACTCTGCAATAATCAAGCTCCTATATCAGTATCAGCATTTATTTAAGGTACTTCATTAATTCCAAATAGATCTCATGTGAGACTTAGAATGTGTTAAGTTCCCCCATTTTTGGCATTGTATCGGATATTTTATGAGGACGGGTGGCTCCGTGGTAAGGGCACTCCACTTGCGACTAGAATGTGATCAGTTCAAATCCTGACCAGGGCTGGATGTAGCCTGTTATTTTGCTGCAGTAGTGTTTTGGAAATCAATAGTGGATTAACTGAATTTTCACCACTGACTCAGGACTGCTAACAGAGATGAGCACTACTTCCCATGCAATTAACCGCTTTGATTTTATTTTGGTTTTTGAGATAAAATCAGTCAAACATCAATGTAATAGGCTATTGGTATCATGACAATGCATTCACATTTTTCATTGTTATTCAAAACCAGCAAAGCATGAAACGTTTTCAAAATGCATTTTCCATGATTAATTAGCTTAATATAAAGACCGTTGAAAATAGGATTTTCTCCTTTTTCTGGCAACAAAACAGGTGTTAAGATGTTAAAACACCAAACTGAAACCTTTTACAAGGAATCATGTCTGCATCAACCAAAATGCTTGTGGTTAGAATGCAAACAAGGAGGTCCCATGATTAAGACCGTTATTTAATGGTACAGCAAGACATGTATACACATGTCAAGTCATTTTTTTTCACCATTGGATGTAGCTTTATTTTCCTCAGGAATTTCGAGGTTCTGCATATTTAGCTTTGGATACTATATGATAGAATGCAGCAGAGCTTACTTTTTTTTTACCTCACCACTACTGAGTACTGTGGAATGACATGTGGTGGAATAATTTTCTGAAGGTAAACATCTTCCTGCAGCATTGCAGAAATTATTAGATGTGGTGTTCAATGAAAACTGCCCATGAAATGGAAGTGAGCAACGTAAATGCTTGAGAGGTTACGCATGATACGCACGCGTATTCCTCAAGTGTTTCCATTGCTTGATATGAATGCTTCGGAGGGCTACGCAAGATGCATATGTCCGTCAGCGAGTGGCTGTTGTGGTTCCAACAAGCAACAATTTCCGATTGATATGTTTATGTAATTTTCTGAAATTGCCTAATTTTTGCCAATTGTTTCAATGTACGGGAAATGCAGTTGAAATTCAGGTGGGTGGTGAAGCGTAAACATTGATTCACACTTTGCGAAATTGCGCGCAATCACTTGCGGAAGTAGGTTTTCGGTGCAATAGAAAGAGCTGGCTGTTTCATCCGCTACATATACACACATTCGTACGGTTCATGTAACCTAAATACCTCTGCTTAAGGACCTCATGAAAATTGGTCGTTGAATTTTAACCTGCTTGGTCGTGACTACATTTTAATGTTGGATTTATTTCAACTTCTAAGTATGTTTTAATGCGTTGTAAAGAATATGTAAACTCACAGCCAACACCAGTGACGATTATCCAAACCAGTCCTGGGTCTCCCCCAGGTCGACTCGGCCTCAAATGAGTACCTGTGGCAGTGTGTAAACATTGCCACTGGGGAGACAAAGGCGTCCGGGCATGATGCTGGCCACCCATCCCCTTGTGTGCTGTGCCAGCCTTCATAGGTGCTGGCTTGCAACACTTGCCCCAACAGTCTGTTAAGGCTATACGGGGGACATCTGTGTGTGCATGCGTGCATTCATGTGTATCTGTACCCAGAATGTTGTGCTGTCTGGTGGCTCCACCATGTTCCGCGACTTTGGGCGTCGTCTCCAACGGGACCTCAAGCGCACTGTGGACAGCCGGCTGAAGTTCAGTGAAGAGCTAAGTGGAGGTCGGATAAAGGTGACTATACTGCCTCCAGCGGTACACAATCGTACCTCATTGTTCCAGTTGCAGCTCAGACATTGGGCAGATTAACCATACTGTGGTAGCTGTATGTCATAAATTCACAAAATTCCACAACCATGCACGTATTTTGCAAAACGAGCTGCGAAACCTCCTTTGGAGCATGTGTGTGTGGACCCAGGAGCCAGGCCTTGGACTATGCGTACTATTTTGGCTGCAGGTGCTACTTTGTGCTGAGTATCAGGTTGTGGGGCATGCACAGACCCACGTGCATCAAATGAGGCACACCTCAGAATTACGGAGTAAAGTATGTGGAATCCGGAGGTGGCTAAGAATCCGTGGTCCTGGCTAAGTGCTCTGATTAAGCAAACTCTAACAATGTTTTGTTTTGTTTTTCCAGTGGATACTTTTCACACTTATTTGGCAGGGGTCTGTGTCCCCATTATAATAACCACTGTTGGCTTCTCACGATTGGTAGCTATTATTTTAATCCTGTAGGGAAGATGATATGAACTCAAAACGTGCCAATTGTGGGTTGTGTACTCTACATCGTTGTTACTCAGTTGGGTGTAATGATCACTTATGTTGAATAAGAATGTTGTCTTTTCTCTTGCAGCCTAAACCCATCGATGTGCAAGTGATTACCCATCACATGCAACGCTATGCAGTGTGGTTTGGGGGCTCCATGTTGGCTTCCACAGTAAGTATCCTTTCCAAAATGCCCCAAACTAGATGGCAGCGACATGAATTAATAACCACGTGCACATTTTTGGGTGAGCTTTCAGGAGTGTTTCATGTTACATATTAGTGAATACGATAAACATTACAGTTATAATTGCTGAAGCTGTTGGAGACAATATTGAACTAATACCACATTTTCAGTAGTTTTATTTCATCATTTCCATAAGCCTCAGTGATGAGACAAGAATCATCCAGCCTACATGTCAATGTGGAATTATTGTCAGTGGAAGCTATTCTTAATCCTATAATTGAAATCAGTTTACTTGAAAAGCACAAAGTGAAGCATTATATTGACAAAATATGGATAGACCATGTTGAAATGTTTAATTTAACTGCCATATCACATTGGCTGCAGATCACCAGCAAAAATGTATCCATTTAAGAGATCAAAACTACAAATCCATAGGGGGAGACTGGCCAGTTCCCTGCTTTACTGTCAGCTATTTGCCACCACCTAGTACTGCAGGTTGGTGTGCTTCTTGCACAAAATGTTACAGATCCTACAATTTCACCAGCCCAATGTCTTATCATTGCTGGTTTTAGGTTTTCCTCTTGCTGACTAGAATTAAATAACTGAAGCACATCTGGTGCTTAGTTGAACAATCACGAATAATGACCTATAATTTATAGGTTGGCATTAACATTTAATTCATTCTGTAGATTTTCACTTTTCCTTAGCCAGAAAAGATAAATGTTTTTTTATCTTAATCCTTGGGAACATTACAAAATATCAATGTATTGAACATATCAATTAGCTATGTAGTATACATAATCGTGAATTTTCAAGCATGTTACAGTCAGATAAAATATGCCACATCCATTCGTTTTTATAAAGCATCCCTACCTCTGCTGGTCACGGCAGAAGCAGTAGCCTCCTACAACGGACACAAAAGCTGTCTTTGTGCGTATTTATGGCTGAATTAGCAATTTTATATTTTCTGTGCTCCTGCAAGGCACACTTGATTGCAGAGTGACAGGTATATTGTTGGAGGAAAATTGTGTTGCTTATTTTAGATATTACGAGGCCATGTCAAATGTTATTATAGTATAGTCTTGCTAAAATGCTACTTAAGCAGTATAGTCTTGTACAAAAAGGTCCAGACGCATTGGCAAGTTGTTATCCAGGCTAACTATAATTTTGTTGAATCATGTGTGAAAGAATCTGTTTTTGATATGTATATGCTATATGTAATGGGGTCATGTTACCCATGCAGCAACAAGAGGTGCTGCAATTCAATGCAATGCAATGTTTAAAAAAAAAGTATAAAATCGTGACCTTTAGTCGTAACAATTTATCAATGGGAAGTGGGGGGCAAAAAGATGATTCGTGCAGCTTCCTTAGAACCACTACAGTGCGGACACCATCAAGCAAAGTATTGGTTTTACATTTTAGTTCACACATTGCAGAGATTTGTGAAGCCTTGTATTGTTGTTGATAATGAGGAACAGGCTTTTTAAAATTATAGCATACCTGAATCCGCACAGTTTTACCCCTATTTCATTTGCACATCCGAGTCGTGCCGAGGCCAGGCAATCATGGGTCAGAAGGCGCAGGCTGTTTTTATACTGCAGATATTTATGTTAACTTATATCGCACCGTACGTAGCCAACTGCGCCAATCAGAGGTGTGGGGGAAGGGACAAAAAATCAAACACGAAAAGCATTGATTTGAAGCTTTCGTAACTGCAGGAATCCATACGCTTGGCCTTGCAACAGTGGTTCACTGCACAACCTAGCCCTTAATCTGAAAAAGTCAGTGGCCATCATGTTAGGTACCAAGCAACGTCTCAACTCATCAGCACCTCCAACACACATACACATCTTTGGTCACAGCATCAGGTTCACCGATCACCTCAGCTACCTCGGTGTCATCCTAGATTCAACTTTATCCTTCGACCGTGAAACCAATCACATCATCAGTTCATGTAACTTTCGTCTGAAGGCTCTCAGCCACCTACGTCCTCTCATCTCCACTGAAATTGCCAACAGTGGCATGTTGCATAGTTGGATCTCGCCTTGACTATTGCAACTCCGTCCTAGTCCGGACCTCCACTAGCAACCTAAAAAAAAACTTCAAAGACTACAAAACAACCTAGCACGCGTCGCCATTGGCCACACTCATCCTCGACTCGACTCACTTGCCTGTCTCTGTGCCCTCAACTGGCTACCCATCGCCAGCAGGGTCATATACAAGATTGCCTGCCTCTGCCACCATGCCTTCACATCTGCCTGCCCGCCGTACTTTTCTTCATTACTGACGACTTGCAGCGCAGCACACGGCAGATGCCTGCACAGCGCGACTCACGACCTCCTCTTGATACCAAGATCCAGGATGGTCATGTCTATGCGCCGCTTCTCGGTGGCAGCCCCAACAGTCTGGAACGCTATCCCTCTGCACATTTGCAGCATCACCTCAATCGCCTCCTTCAAAAGACACTTAAAAACTCTCCTCTATAACCATGCTTTCGAGCGACTCTGAGCTTGGCTCTGCGCCTCTGAGTTGCGGCCGTTACTTCCGCAAATTTGTGCGCGTTATAAATTGCATTATTATTAAATTCACGTAGGTAGAAAAAATAATAGATCATGACGTTTCGGTCGCAACACAAGCGATTGTCTTCAGACCGTCTGAGGACCGTCTGAAGACCGTCTGAGGACCGTCTGAGGACGGACGCTGGTGTTGCCACTGAAACGTTGTGATCTATTATTTTTTCTACCTACGTGACTTTACCAAAAGAACCAAAGAGAAGAAAAGCATTTCCTAAGAAATTCGTTTTCAATGTAGACGTAACACAATGTGTGTTATCGAGACGCACATATATGATGCAGTATACAATAACACACACGGCTACAAACACTCTTTCACAATTGTTCAGCACCCCAAGACTGTTTTCTCTCTTCAACTCGCTAAAACCCGTTGAACACCATTTTGTAAATTTTCATGTGTGATGACGTCACATTGAACACGTAATTAGACTTACCCCTGGCCCTGGCTGGCCCCTCGCCAGATTCGGATGCCTTATGAGGCCAGGGTATCAAAGTTTGGTTCTCGCTCGGCACTGCAAATAGCCAGTGGAAAACCACCTGTACCGTGAGGGTTCCATGTTGGCGCACCTTAGATGTACCATTGAAAAGGGGGTATTTGTCATTGAACATGTTACTCAACACATTCGTCAATAACATTGCCTGAAAGAGACAATTATTGGTGTTATTGTACAAATGGGAGTTGTTTTTGTGCTTGTGCAGCACTGCCAATGCATTATCACTAATGAAAAAAACTCAACATGTTACAGGTCTGCCGAATGCTGTATGCACTGCTGTTTCTTTTGAAAAAACTTGCAATGTCAAAATGAATTAAACCAAAATTCGCTCATAATATGAGCTTTGTTTCAGACCCAACTTTGAGTAGGTTGGACAATTTTCTAACACCATGCTTTGTCACCCCATTGACCCCCAGCCTGAGTTCTTCCAGGTTTGCCATACCAAGAAGGATTACGAGGAATATGGCCCCAGCATCTGCCGTCACAACCCAGTGTTCGGCGTGATGTCCTAACACTTGCACATTATTTTTGAGTTCTGCCAAACAGGATGTTTCCAAGCCTTCCCAGCCCTTTCTCCTTCAGTGTGGAGAGCTCAGACACAACACACTGAAAACACATACCACCTACGAAATACCTTTCCGCTCGGTTTGATTTTTCTTTTATTTTGTGACAAATGTTATTTGTATGCAAATGCTTGCCTTGCATTACTCAAGTATTTCAGTGCAGATGTCATGGGCTGCCCCTTGATCATCAGATGGTTCTTTGCTGTCTGGGATATTATGAAAAGCCTTAAGTACCAACATATTTTATCTAAAAGGTGGCTGTCACAAATTGTGACTTTAGTGGTGGGCAATAATCTGCATAGCACATTACCGAAGTGTCAGCTTTGCTCTGAATTTGCCAAAACACTGAATATTTTTTTCCCATTCTGCCTCATTTAAACGGTTCATAAATGTGTTGCCAGTCTTTTTTAAAACGCCAATTTCAAAATAATGTTTTGAGGATTGCTTAAAAACAAAAAGAAGTGCTTCATTGAAATTGCCACAAAGGTTACCACTATTTGTGTGGGCTTTTGAGATGGATTGGGCAACAGGATTTGAATACAAAAAATAGATGTCTGCTATCCTCTGAATCATTGGCTTCCTCAAGAGAATCAGGACCCGCTTCTCAGCTTTGCTTGAAAGAAAACGTGTTATGTACTCTCCGTGATTGATGCTCTGCAAAAATGTTTGTTGGTTATCGGTTGTGATTGATAATGGTAAAGCAAACTTTTTATTACACTGTGTCTTGGCAAATGCACACAGAGTGGTTTATCAGGACAGGCTGGCCAGTGGTTGATTGTGAAACAATCGGCCTGCCATTACTTTTTCTACTTGTACATCATGCATTATATAGGGTTCCAAGGTGGGTAATTTAGTTTTTTCTGAAGATTTTTTTCCAATAAAAATATTAATTGGCGCCATTTTGACACAAATGTAATTGGCGCCATTTTGACACAATTTAATTGCCGCCATTTTGAGACAAATTTGCAGTAATGAATGACTAAACATGTATATAAGTACATTTAAGAAAAATTAAACAATTAACCTTGTCACTGAAAATATACTTTTTAATCAAAATCAAGTTGGCATTGTAATTTGGGACTGCAGAAAACATTTTGTTGTGTTTGTAAGATAAGATTTCCTCCAAAGATCCAAGTTTTGATGTTAAATTGATTGTGGACTGACCAAACAATATACCTTTTTTGTAATGACTTTAAACTGGGTTTTGGCAAAAAAAGTGCAGTATTGAGGTAGTCTGCTTAAATACCTATCATTGGATTGATATTTTTGAAAATGCATTCATCGAATGTGATGTCACATGGGTGTGCGATAATTCAACATCCTCTTCCGAAAATATGATGCATTCCCTTGGTTTAAGCAAAACATGCCAATATCTATCCTTAGCCCTGAGAGTGGCTGTATTTGTGACAATTCTATTTTTAAATGACAGCGTGGACCAAACACTCTTCTATATCAACTGTAATTGGTGACACTTTCAGCTGAATGCCAGCAAAGGTGTTTTAAGTGACTAGAAATATAAACATGTAGAGTTTGTCACTGGATACTCGGAAATGAATACCATACAATGACTTTGCATGTTGTTGGATCTGCAGTATCGCCTTTTGTTATTTTTCACGTGATCTAAATACTGATTGTATGAAAGGTACAGCATTCCAATAAAAGGCACTTCTTTGCAGCTGAATGATTTTTGAATGTTATATACTAAAACATGTGGTAGCAGTTGTAACGATAATTTTCAGCTCAATATCAACCCATTGCTGGACAAATGCCTCCCTATGCCGTGCTGGTCATGTTTTTTTTATATCATACTTCACTGTGCTGGCTGATGTTGGTTGATGTGAATACTCTACTGCAAATAGCCACCCTACTTTTCTGATGTATCCAAAAGGAGGCTTTTCAAAGTACATCACCACGAGACTCAGAACCCTGGCCGCAATAGGAAATTGGAAGACGGTACCAAAAAGTTAACTGCTGTCCAATCTGCAGAGTTTAAATGGTCTCTCAATTGTCACATTTCTCAAGCTATGCCGTTTTCCTCCAACACCCAAAAAGTTATAAAATGTATTTGCCTAGTAGCTTACTGAAAATTGTTACGACGCATTTGAGACAGCTGGAGGACTGTTACATGCGGTACTTAGTCTGAGAACATAGAGGTCATATCATATACTAGATAACCAGCTCATGGTGGTGCACATCATACATTGTTAAGCTGTTTGGAGCGTGACCATATACTGACTTTTGACGTCGGCATTGGCTCTTGGGCCAACAGAAGAATGCGTTGCTATGGTAGAGCCATCATCTCGGCATAATTTCTCATAGTGGACATACAGCTCCATGTTGCACAGCATGTCTGCATGCTGCTGTGGTGAGTCAAGCTGCAGACCATCAACACATTCAGAGCCATCAAATACTCAGGCAAAGGGTATTTAGGATGGCAACATCTCCAGACTATCTTTGTGGTCCCACGAGCATATACATGCACAAAATGTACTTGTGCCGAGTGATTTTTGTTTAATGGACAATTGAACATTATGGCGGGACCCCAGGGTCCCGAATAAACGGAAGTCAAAATCGTAATTATATTTTATTTTTGGCGACTCCGTCCTACCGCACACATAAACGCCGCGACCCACCTGGCGCGGATCATTCTGTTATGTCGTCCAAGCGCAGCGAGGACGAATGCGCAGAAGAGCTGAACAAGAGAATGCACTCAATGCTCGGGTATGGGCAGGATCATAAGTCTTATCCAAAGCTGCTCAAACTGCCTACACGACTTAAGTACTTTATTTGTCATAACAGTATGCATAATACAGTGAAACTGCTCTCTTATCTTCATTATTACTTGTGACCTACCAATGTCTGCAGCCACGATCAATCGATGGCAAAATACTTCTCTTGTCCGTATGCATCTGTGCAAATAGTTTTTTTTTGCGGTTAAGCCATAGTCCCCACATACCGCCCATATCAATGCAGATAGGAGCGGCGACCCACTATGTAGAGTAAAATTGGTATAAACGCTTGTTGCAATATGAACCGTGCATTGAAAACGCGTACTATTTTATCTACAATTTACAAAGTGTATTCACAAATCCATACTGAGAAACAATGATTGACAGAGGGGTGTAAATCATTTTTTCGATAGTGTATTTAAATAGAGGTACTGCAGGTAAGTAGTTTTCAGTTTTAAAGGCATATTTTAACAAGACAACACTTGCCACCATTCTTCAAACTAATTGGTGAAAAAGAGCAAAGTTTTTGTTTACATTATAAAATAATGTTTATGCGAGAGCCGGGGGCTTATGGGACCCCGGGGTACCGCCATAAGGTAAAATTAGAGCCGTACAATAAAGATGATTAAAATATTGGGCCCTGGCATTATGGATGGTTCTTACCCATAACATTAAGCAACCCAGTAACACTCGTTTCATAGGACACCCTGCTGGTCAAATTTAATAAGTGAAAACTGGCCCCACGTTTTTACTTTGGAATAAAGTAATACTCCGATTTACGTATCCCCCTTTAACGTCGTTTCTCAAATATGTCGTTACTTTATTAATAACACGACCTGATTTGCGTCACCTCAACCTATATGTCACTGACAGCATCATCCTTCCTTTCTCGTATCCATCGGCTCAGCCTTCGCCTCTACCTACCCTGTAAATTGATTTGATTTACGTCGTTTTGATATTCGTTGCACTTTTCAGGAACGCATCTCCGATGTATACCGGGGTATTACTGTACATATCCAGAAGGCCAATTGGTCACTTGAATAATCTAATTGGTATGTTGATTAAACAATCTCCCTATATCATTACTGTACAGTAGTTAGTTTCATATAAAGGCTTAACAATTCGATCTGGTTACCAGCTCAGAATATCATAAGGGAAAATTATAATATTCTGAAGATATTTCTGTTATCCAATCGCTTGCAGGGAAAGTGCATCTGAAATCCCATTTTCTGTGCGTCCCAAGTAAATCCCATCTCAATTGTGGCTGCTAGTGAATAATTAGGCCCGTGCTCTTTGGGGTATTCAGGAAATGCTCGATAAGGGAGCTGCTTGGAAATTTGTTGCTGGCCCAAAGTGCACTTTGCCTAATCTGTGCCAAAGCCAGGAACCAAATCTATAATATTATTGGTGGGGTGAAGAGTAGAGGTAGAGGGCACCTGACTGCACCAAACACGTGTCTTTATCCTAAAAGCATCACTTTGTCTAATACATTTTCAAAATGGGTCTTTATGTATGTTGAACTTTTTCGCATCGCATGGAGCCGACCATGCTAATCATAGGTGTGTTTGTGTTGAGGCAACCAGCTTAATAATTTGCACAATGCAATGAGTGTCCTCGGACCGCCCACTAACCTTGGTTAGCGGTCAGTCTTCAACAATGTACGTAATTTTCTCTCCTGCACTACAGCTACAGATTGGGTTGTCGCGTAAGCCCCACCTGTACAGGCTTGCTGCACACAGGCCTTGGTAATTTCTTGAGCACGGTGAGCAGGGCTCATTCATCCCACTGGATCATAGGATCATCCCCGAGGAATTGGTTCCTTGTTGAGTATGAGAGCTACCCGTGCTCCAGTGACTTTGCTGATGCGTCCTGGCATGGCATATAGGCCCGCACTGCGTGCTGTGATGATAGTAGCAGGTGAGCCAATGAGATTGACCGCAGACTTTGGCTTTGTGTGAATAAGAATAAAATAATAAATTGATAAAATAAAATAACAATAAAATTCTCACGACGTTTTGGCCACAACACAAGCGGCCTTCATCACAGTCTCGTCCCTTCACCTGATGAAGGCCGCTTGCGTTGTGGCCGAAACGTCGTGAGAATTTTATTGTGTTATTTTATTTTATCAATTTATTATTTTATTCTCATTCTACGTGACTTTACCGAAAGAACCAAAGAAGATTAATCCTTGCAGTCACGAAAGCTTTAAATCGAAATTTGTGTGAATATTCTGCAAAAGCGTGCCAGCCTTAGCCTCCCGATGGATGTGAGGAGGGGTGATGTCGCTCATAAGTGGCAGCCAAACGGAGGGTATGAGTCGAATACTTCTGCAGATTATGCCAATTTTTGACCTATCGATATAAATAGGTTAGAAACCTACAAGTCACACTGCCATCCAAATGGAGAGAGGATCGCAACGACTTCGAACAACAGCACCGAAGTGTATGTTTAATGTCGATAATGTTTACATGACCCATCAAGCCCGTTTTCACACTGGATTACATAGGGTTACAAATCTCTGTGTAGAGGAATGAAGACTGCATAGTGGCTATGGAGACATGTTGGGCTATGGGGTGCAGACCCGCCTTAACAACGGTGCAGTTGTTTGCCCGTGCTGGAAGCCCATGGCAAAACGGGCCCTCTACAATGTAACCCACACAACCGGTGTTTCATCCGACCGACCTCCCACCTTTGGAACCTCTCTCTGGGTGCTGTTAACTGGCCGCTAACAATTTAGGCTTATTCGTGATTTGATGAACTACTACGATGTCGGAATAACAAAGAACCATTTTGTTTTCATTGTGTTGCATTGAAGCACCTCTAGTGGCTGCAGGAGTCACGAATGAACGAATTACATACGAATCAAAACCATGTTGATTCTCACATGCACAATTATAAGCGCGCATCGTGAGCATTAGAACCAAATAGTAATCGAATCAATTCATCATTACATCCCTACTGATAGTTCTCCTGCTGCTGTCGAGCCTACTTGAGTAACCCCAGTAAATGTAGCATTATTTTTGGAGCCACCTCAGGGGGTGTTATTTGCCGACCACATGCACCGAAAGTACTCTCAGATGAGGACTTTACTTGTGACAGTGCTGTGGTGAGCAATGTCCCAACCCGTGCACGGTCTCAGCTCGAGCACTGTGGTTGGTGGGAGCAGTGTCCTCACTAGCAGTTGCCCAGAGAAACAATTCACATTGTCCCCTTCACATGGAGCTGCATGTTCTGATAGGTTTAATTTTATCAGCTAAAAGGCGCCAATACAAACTAATGAATCTACAGTATTGTGCATCACTACTATCCTCATAAACACTACCACCACCACCACCATATTACAGTACCACCATAATTACTACTCTCCTGACCACCATCACAATTATCCTTACCAGAACTAATATCCTTCACCACCACCATAATCTACGTAAGCCAATGCTATCCTCACCACTAGTCAGCCATTATACGTCATCATCAGCCAATGTGTATTATGATCATTATCATCAGGCAATGCCTTAATTATTATTACCATTACCAAAATACGATCGTCATCATAATTATTTTCTCGATTGAAACCGCGAACAACGAACGCTGAGCAGAGGGACCTCATTTGCATAAGGGCTGTCCTTATGGGAATAAAGCATCCTAATATGTGATTAAGGCCCCCTCCATCTCGATGCTATATATTTTTTTCACGCAGGGGTTAAACCATTATAGTTCATGCGAATTTCCTGTAGGCATTTTCCTGCCTTGCACTGAATAATTTTGGAATGATTCCTGCAATCAGTTATACATAAAAACAAATCTGAATTGCCGTGTAATTTCGGTCATTAGGAATATTGTAGATCATCTAAGTAACGGAATGTCTTTTGCAATTGACAACAATTACATTACCGTATTAGGAGTTTTGAATTATTATTACAATAGCATGAAATTCTGTAAATAT